TAAAATATGGGGTACCTGGGTGGCTCAGTCTGTTAAGCGTCTGCCTTCGGCTCAGGTCATGATCCTAGGGTCCCGGATTGAGCCTGGACGGGCTCTTCTGCTCTTCCCTCCCCCTGCTCCCCCTGCCACCTGCTCATGCTCTCTCACTGCCTTTCTCTCTCTTTCAAATAAATAAATAAAAGCTTTAATATATATATTAATGTTAATATATAACATTATATATATATATACATACATATATATATATAAAATAAAATACATTTATGTTAGCCAAAAAGTCAACATCAAGATTTACAGGGTAATAAAGATACTCCCATTACAGTAAAGAATTTTAAGATGTGAACTGGTGTATGTGTCACCATGGGCCTTGCCTCTACGCTGCCTGTTGGACGGTGTGTGCTCCCTCCTCAATCTGCAGCCAGCAGTAAGCATCCCTCACCTCACATGTTCTGCTTATGAGCCACCTGCCAGTTCCCAGCCTTTCCCATGGTACATCAAAGAACCTAGGTAATATTTTAAGACCCTCTTGCAAGGCTCCTACGCCTTGCCCTAGTTCATGCTAATTAAAACTCACATTAGCACATGAGAAGTACCACCAGAACCCAGGCAGCCGGTCATAGCCAGCGAAACTACAGCTTTCTTGTCGAGTTTCTTCTGATATTTCTCTCCTTAGAGGAGGAGAAAAGATATCCACTATTATCTAACTAGTTCAAACAACTTAATAAGACAGAAGACACTCTCTAGAACAGTCCCTGTCTAAGGGATGAAAACAATCAAGAGAAGTTAAAACTATCATTATTTGAAGACAACATGATCTCTACCTAGAAAAATGAAGAAAAGCAACTGAAAAAAAAAATAAAGCATTATAAACAGTAAGTTAGTTCAGGAGGAAGCTGGATACAGTCCTGAAGCCCTAACAGAGCACCAAGCTTCTTGAGGACCTGTCAGGAATCTCGTGGCAAGTCAATTCCATCAGGTCCCTTGTGTCACAGAGGGTGTGGTGAATAACGCACTCTGGAAGAAACACTTGTTCTGTATTTGGGTTTGCTTTCCCTGCAGGTTATGCCTCTGCTTTACCATTCTTGGAATTTCTGACTTTGCATAACACAGGGTGGTCCAGATAAAATTGTCTCCAACCAAGAAACTCACTTCCCGGGGAGAGAAATGAGACAATTGGCAAGCCATGGGCCATTATCACATTTCCCATCCAGCAGAAGCAGCTGGTCTTACAGAACAATGAAATGGTGTTCTGAAAACAGATCTAGCAGTATCCAGGAGACCGCACCTGTGAAGCTGGGACACTTTCTTGTAGAAAGTGGTATGTGATCCCCATCAGTGACCAAAATGCAGTGTCAGCTCTCCCTCGGCCAATACAGAGGTCCAGAAACCAAGGACTGGGGGCGGGGGCAGGGGGTGGGGGGGTGGGTGGAGGGTGGCCACTCTCACTATTACTTTTCTCTTTAAAAATAGTTGCTTCCAAATACCCAAGTCACTCACGCTCTGTAGACATAATGGTCCAAGGCGAGGTGCCACCAGGGAACCCAATAAGGGTTCCACCTGGCCATTTGGGACTCCTCCCCCCACTAGGGCAATGGCATGAAAGGGTGTTCCCGTACTAGCCTGCTACCCTGATTATGAAGGGGAAGTGGGGTTGTTACTCTCTGATAGGGCCTGGGAGGGAGGTGGTTGCCTCCTTGTACCACCACACCCAGTGGCACAAATTAACAGAAAACCATCACAATCCATATAGATGTACTAACTTTCCTCCCCTACTATTGTATACATCAGGGTTTGGTGGGAGCTAAGTCTACCAATTTGTTCAAGGTTTCAAAATAGTAAGAACTAACCCTGGGCGACCGAGAAATACAGGAGGAACAGGCAGCACGGTGCAACAGTGAACTCTGAAACTTAGAGGGAACATTTAAGGTGGTCTGAGATGTCACGTGCGTTTTATCTGGGTGTGACTTAATGTTGCCTCCTTTTAGGACATCAAAGTACATCTGTGGCTGTGATAACTAGAGAGGTGGAACAAAGTACACATGGGGGTGCCCAGGGCTTAATTCTGGGCCCTCTTCTGTCTATGTGCTGCACCTAAGCAACCTCATCCAGTCCCATAGCTTTAAAGAACTCCTGGCTATTGACTCCAAAACAGACATGTCCAGCTCGAGCCTCGCCTACAAATCCAGACTATATATCCACCTGCCTCCTTGATCAGCCCTTTGGAGGCCTCATAAGGATCTCAAATCAACATGTCCGAGGCAAAACTACTGATTTCTGGCTATCAGCATCCACTTAGCTGCTCCTGCTACAGTCTCCCTTTTTTAAAATAAATGGCCCCATACACCACCCAGTTGCTCAAAACAAAAATCTAGAGCCACCCTTGTCCAATATGGTAGCCCTTAACCACATGTGGCTATTTTAATTTAAATTTATTGTATTTTTAAAAGATTTTATTTATTTATTTGACAGAGAGAGACAGCGACAGAGGGAACACAAGCAGGGGGAGTAGGAGGAGAAGCAGGATCCCTGCTGAGCAGGGAGTCTGATGCAGGACTCGATCCCAGGACCCTGGGATCATGACCTGAGCCAAAGGCAGACACTTGATGACTGAGCCACCCAGGCGCCCCTAAATTTAAATTTAAGTTAATTAAAATTAAATTAAATTAAAATTTCAGGTTTGCAGTTTTAGTAGTCACATTTCAAGTGCTCAATAGCCAGCAGCTACCATATTAGACAGATACAGCGCATTTCCACGATCACAGAGTGTTCTGTTGGACAATGCTTCTCTAGCAAGGTTGCCAGTGATTCCTCTTTCCCTCACCGCCACATGTAATCCATTAACAAATCCTATGGTTTTACCTCCAAAACATTCCCTGAATCAATCCATCTCTCTCCAACCCATTCCTACCACCTGGTCTATGCCATCATCACCTTCCACCTGGACTGCTGAACTCACTTCTTCGTTGCCCTCATTCCAATCTTCCCCACCTATAACCATTTCCCCTATAGTAGACAGAATAATTTGTTTTTCAGAACTGAAAACCAGATCATGCCTTGCCTCTGCTACTATTCTTCCAATGACTTCTGTGGCAGAGACTGCAGTTTTACCCTTATGTCCTTTCTTTCCTTCTGCCTCAATGACAGAACCTCTGAAGTTTAGGTGAGCACACAGAAGCCCGAAATAAAGAACACATTTTCCAGAGTCCCTCCTTGCACTTAGGTGTGGTCATGTGACTGAGTTCTGACCAGAGAGAGCCAATGAGGTTGTGTGCCGTCTCCTGGCATGTCTTTAAAAAGAGCAGCCTCCTCCTGCTGCTCTAACAGGCATGATGGCTGAAGCTGGAATAGATCACAAGGTGAACTTGGGAGCGGAGGTAATGCCCTGTGAGCAACAAGATAGAAGGAGCCTGGTTCCCTGAGGTAGTGGAGAAACCCACCAGCCCTGAAACGCCTACCTAGATTTTTACATGAGAGAGAAATAAACTTCATTTTGTTTGAGCCCCATTACTTGAGGTTTTCTGTCATAGTAGGACCTAATTCTAACTAATACAGCTTTCCATCACACTTAGAAGAAAACCCAAACTCCTTACAAAAGCCTGGAAGGTTCTACACGATCGGTCCCCACTCCAGTACAATCCCCTCCATTCTCCCCTCACTCACCATGCTCCAGTCACTCTGGCTTCCTTTTTCCTGCTTCAAAACACCGAGTTTCTTCACGCTCTAGGGACTTGGCCCTTGCTTTTCCCTGCGTTTGGGTTGCTCCTCCTCAGATCTTCTCATGGCTGACTCCTTTTAGTTATTCAGGTCTCACCTTAAATATCACTGAGAGACATCATTAGAGATGGTTACCCTGACCAACCCTGAAATACCCAACAAGCCACTCTCCTTTACAATACCTTATTTTAATTCTCTGCATAGGTGTTATCACTAACTGATGATTCTCTCATTTGTTTATCGTCTGCCTCCCCCTCCTAGCTTGTAAGCTCCATGATAGGAATTTTGATGGTTTGGTTTACTGCTGGACTTCCACTCTCTAGAACAGTGCCTGAAACCGATTAGAAATTCAATACGGGGGGCGCCTGGGTGGCTCAGTTGGTTAAGCGACTGCCTTCGGCTCAGGTCATGATCCTGGATCCCGGGATCGAGTCCCGCATCGGGCTCCCTGCTCGTCAGGGAGTTTGCTTCTCCCTCTGACCCTCCCCGCTCTCATGTGCTCTCTCTCAAATAAATAAATAAAATCTTTAAAAAAAAAATTGGTTAAGAAATTCAATACGTGTTTGTCAAATACTATTCCACGGATAGTGTGGTGGTTAAAAGCAGGGTTCCTAAAGTCAGACGACTCATATCAGAATCCTGGCTGGGCCATGTACCAGTGGTGTGACCTACCACAAGTCGAATTACCTAAACTCTCTGTAGAATGAGATTTCCTGTGGCATAGGGTAGGAGTAAGCGAAATAGCATTTATAAAGCACTCCTTCTCCTCCCTCCCTTCCTCTGAGAGCTCCCTTCTTTCCCTCTTCCCCTCGGTCGCTCCTATGGCCACTTCTCTTCTGCTGTTCGTACCTCTCTGCACAGCCTAGCGAAGACTGGGCCTTTGAAATTTGGCGGGAATTAACGTCATCATTCAGGAGGACAAGGGTTGCGCACGCGCGAGACACCTACTCTTTCTCGCGCGCTAACTTTGCAGCCTAGACAGCCAGTCAGAGTTAGCGTCGGAGCCCGTGTTCCGAGGACTCACCAATCGAATCTGGGGGGCGGGCCGCCATGGAGGCAGTGGCGAGAGGGGGCGGAGACAGGGAGAGGGCACGCACAGTTCTCGCGGCAGTGTCTCTGCGGGCCAATGGGAGAGGCCTGAGGGTGAAGGCGGTGGGGCGTGGCATTGGCGGCTCCCGCAACCCAAGGCCGTCCAATGTCGAGCCAATCAGAGTGGGGAGGTGGGAGGAGACTAACCAATCAGCGTGCAGAATAGGCAAGGCAAGGGGTAGAGAAGTCTCTCGCGGACGTCGCCGGCTTCCTATCTTCTGTCAGGGGAGCCGGGCGTGCGGAGGAGGCAGAGGAGGCGGGAAGGTGGCTGTGGTTGAAGGGACAATTGCTGACTTGCGGGGAGGAGGTCCGAGGGAGCGGGCAACCATGGTGATGGCGGCGAAGAAGGGTCCAGGCCCGGGTGGCGGGGTCAGCGGGGGTAAGGCGGAGGCGGAGGCGGCCTCGGAGGTGTGGTGTCGCCGGGTGCGGGAGCTGGGCGGCTGCAGCCAGGCAGGGAACCGCCACTGCTTCGAGTGCGCCCAGCGCGGGGTCACCTACGTGGATATCACCGTGGGCAGCTTCGTCTGCACCACCTGCTCCGGCCTCCTGTGAGTGGACTGGCGCGGGGTAGGAGAGGGGGGGAGGACCGGGAAGGGGCTGCGGAGTATCGGCGTTGGGGACAGCGGGGATCCGGGGCGAAGGGACGGAGCCGAGGTAGGGGCGGCGGGGAGGCCTGGGGACGCGCCTGATGCGCTGAGAGGGTCGTCTGCTGCAGAGCTGTCATGGGGAAGGGAAATTGGCAGAGGAGACAAGACACGATTGGAGTCGCGTTGCAGGGGAAAGGAAGGGCATCGGAGAAGAAGGGAGAAACTCCCGAAGGGAGGGGAGGCAAAACGAACCGAACCGAAAGTGGGGGAGAGTTGAAGGGAACAGGGGGGAGGTTAAGATTTAAAGGGCCCGAGAATGACACACACCTTGAAAGGGAACTCTATGTAGGTGAGGGGCAAATAGGAAAGGGGTAGAGTAAACTGGGCTCTAGATGAAGGTGTACTTCTGGCTCGTGCCCATTCTGGAGTGTGAGATAGAGAAACCAATTTAAAATAGGTAAGTTAACCCAGGCTGACAGCATAGAGATTGTGACAGGTAAGGAGCCCTGTACCAGCGTTCGGGTGCAGGTCCTAATGTTGCAGGGCTTTGGAGTGCAACCCAGAGGTAGATTTCTTACAAATCTTAAGAGATGAGAGCTGATGGATTACCGTGTTAGAGAGCTTAACTTCTCCAAAGGTTTGGGGATCTGGATGAGCCATCCTTAAGTGTAGTAGTTTACACCTTTAAGCTTCTTGTTGCCATGGCTGGGTCCTGGTAGTAGCATCTGGCAGCTCTTTCTAGATTTGGGGGAGTTTTGTTGTATAATCTGCAACGCTACACTTGGCACTGGTACTGGATTTGGTCATGCCTGAGCTAATTTAGAGCCACAGTTCTAGGCCAGATTTCTGGTTATAGAGTAAGGTTCTTTTTCCCCCATAGGGAATTATTTGGTTAGATGCCTGATTAACATTGGCTACCAACCCTGTATCTCTATTCTGTATAAGTTCATCAAGAGATTTATTTTGACTTGTTCAGTATTGTTTTAATATATTGGTTTGTCTGGTTGGTTGGTTTTGTATTTAACAAGGGATGCTTTCGTTGTTTCTTCTTACACCTTTAGGAGCCAAGGAGGGAGCAGTATTGTTCTTACATGACAGATGAGAGAACAGAAGCAAAGAGAGGTTTACCAGTGCCATATGGGGTTTGCTGTTTTCAGCATTTGTTATTGGATATTAGTTATGATCACGGCAGACCAGAAATGAAGATACGGTGTAGGATTATCTCTCTACGTGATTTTTACCTCCTTTGCCAAACTTCTGTGTTCTGATCAACCTCACTTGTGTGTTATGGCTTTGGTCTAAGTAAAAGCTATTGTGGCTCTTGGGACAATGATTAGAACCCAAACAGGAATGTGTCAAAGGTAGAGACTTAAATAAAGCAAAAGGGTAGAACTGAGACTGGGACAAGTACTCTGAGGAGAAAAGGAGAAAAGTTTAGGACTATTTATAGCAGAAAGAGAAAGAACAGATTCCTAAAGATCCTGTTATGAAGAGGAAAATCTGATTATAGAGTCTGGGAGCAGAGGGATAAAACTGATGGCATGTCAGAGTCTAGGTCCTAGGAAGAAAATGTTTGGAAACAGTGTTAATTCATCCCCATGGTTAGCTGCACAGCAAAGATAAAACACTAACTAAATGGGAGGGCTGACACTATTATTATTATTTTATAGATCTTGGTTTAAAGTATCCCATAGATAACATTTCCCTTCTATAATGAATATCCCTCAATCAGGACAAAAGGAGGGTCAAGGGATCTGGCACACATTAAAAACCTGATTTCTTTTGCTAGAACACTTAACTCCTTAAATATCAGGGCACAGTTTACAAAACTTGACCACTTTTTCCCCGTGCTCATTACTGTTGGTCTTTAGTGAAGGATCAAAAGGCCGGGCCATAAATGAAGTTGAATTGAAGGCATGTTGACATTATAAGGAGAGAAATATCAGAGGAAACTCTAGGAGAAAGCTGTAGTTTCCCTGGCTGTGTTTGTCTGCCTAAGTTCTGGTGGTACTTCTCATGTGCTAATTGAAGTTCTAATTAGCATGAGCTAAGTAGGGCAAGGCATAGGAACCTTATAAAAGGGTCTTCACAAAGTATTGCCTGTGTCCTCTGATGGACTTTGGGAAAGGCTGGGAGCGGGTGGTGGGCTGTAAACAGGGTGTGAGGTGAGGGATGCTTACTGCTGGCTGCAGAGTAAAGGGGGAGCACACACAGTTCAGCAGGCAATGGAGGGGCATGGCTCAGGGTGACACATAGACCAAGTAACATCTTAAATCCACATGGTTGATTGCCCACAGATTAGGATTTCGTGGTACTGGGAAGTGAAAATCACGGTAGGCCAATAATTGCCGGTGATAATAAGTGCTGAGAAGTAAAATAAAGCTCAGCATGGGCTGGAGAGTGATGGGAACTCATGTTAAGGTATGATGATGAAAGAAGAAATATTCTTTGTTTAAAGGACGAGGGTATTGGGGCGCCTGGTGGCTCAGTCAGTTAAGCATCTGCCTTTGGCTCAGGTCATGATCCCTGAGTCCTGGGACCAAACCCCGTGTTGGGCTCCCTGCTCATCAGGGAGCCTGCTTCTCCCTCTCCCTCTGCCACTCCCCTCTGCTTGTGCTCTCCCTCTCTCTCTCAAATAAATAAATAAAACCTTAAAAAAAAAAAAAAAAGGACATGGGGCACCTGGGTGGCTCAGTCGGTTAAGCATCTTCGGCTCAGGTCATGATCCCAGGGTGATCGAGCCCCGCATCGGGCTCCCTGCTCAGCGGGAAGCCTGCTTCTCCCTCTGCTTGCTGCTCCCCCTGCTTATGCTCCTGCTCTTGCTATCTCTGTCTGTCAAATAAATAAATAAAATCCTTAAAAATAAAAAAAAATCTATCTTTAAAAAAAAAAGGACGAGGGTATTGAGGCGGGGCAAGAATTCAAGTACCACACTTAGCACCGTAGCCAGAGAAAGGAGACAGCGAGACTGGCTTTATTTTGAAAGCCAGCTTTCTGCTGAGGATGTTACAAATACATCCACCTCTCAGGGGAGTGGGGTGTTCTGGGGGCAGTGAGCACAATTACCAGAGTTCCCAGCTGGCTGCACAGGCTGATACAGCAAAGTTGACTGTTGCAGCCAAAGTTGAATTTCCCAAGATCTGGAGAAAATTTTTGATTTTAATACTGGTGGGTGGGTATGACTATGGGTCCATCACTACATGTGAGAGCTCATTCTCATTTTCTTTTTTCATGAGAAATATTTTCTCAGCTCTAGCAGAAAACCACAGCGTTGGTGTGAGGGACTGAGAGAGAAGCTGCTAGTTTTGGCTGTTTCTAAATTTATATACATGCTGCCACAATTGTAGGTCCCAAATTTGACCTAGTTTTATTCATTTGGTTTTCGTCCAATACCTAGTTTCCTTAACCTGGATATAGGTCCGTCTCATTTCCCCAGCATATACATCTGCCTGTCTATTTGGCTGTGTCTGACTCTCCTACTAGAGAGCAAAGCCAGGACAGGGTAAAGATTGCTGCTAAAAAGTGCTTTTTCCAAAGCAGTGCCTTCAGTGTTTTTTCTTCTTCTGGTTTGCCTGGATGCCTCAATGGATAAACCACGTTTCTTTAGTAAGAAAATAGATCTTGAGGCCTGAAATGTCGTTGACACAGGGATAGGCACTGTCTTTGACACCCAGTTTTGTTTTGTTTTTTCCAGTAAAATCTGTGTCATGCTTCCCTAACCTGGCTGTTTGGGTCCATCTTTAATCCATTGTCCTTTGGGACTCAGTAACAGATACTTGCCTCCTCTACTTCTGTACAACTTTATTCCAATAGTGGGATTAAGTCAGGATTCGGGTGGACAGAGCTCTGGGCTGGGTGCCAGGAGATGTGCTTGACAGCTCTTTCTTTGTGACAAGTTCCTAACCTCCTGGTGCCTTAGTTTCCCCATCTGGCTTTGCTCGTAGCGGTTCCTCGTTAAGCACTTTTATCTCCATGGAAGAAAAGGCCTTGTGTGTTGTTCAATAATTCAGTACTTTTCCATCCATCTGGGTTAGAGAGGTAGATGTGTCCCTTGCCCCTGTGTTAGTCCCGTCCCTCCGTCCCCTCCCACCTCACCTTTTATCCAAAGACATGAGAAGAAGGGGGAAAAAATGTAAAAGGATTGAGAATGAGCCTGAAAAGGAAGGCAAAGGACAGCAGTTTATCATTGTCACTAAGGAAGAACTACAGGAAATGGGTTGAAGCAGGGATTTTCGATGAGGAAGAAGTTTCCTAAAATTAGTGAAATTGAGCCTGGAGCAGGGTAAGTGGGGAGCTCTCCTATTAGGGACTAGAAAAAGTCTCTAATAGGGACTCTTTTGGGTGATGTTTGGATCCAAGATAAGAGCCAGCGTGGCTTAGCTGAACCCCGCTCAAAGGCAGAGGACTGGAATCCCAGGAGCAAAGAAACCCCACGTGGGGGGTATGAATCCGAACACGAAATATTCAGAAGTCAGGAATTCCCAAGTCCAAGTTTGGCACAAAGGAAAGAACTTGGGTGCCGGGTAGAACTGTTTTTTCCGTTGTTGACCTGACCGAACTTTCTTATGTGAGCAGCTGAGCAGGTTTGAGACTTTCATGAAGCAAGATAGAAGCAAAACATGGGCCGTTGTGAGGGTGATGACCACAGGAAAACAAAAGGTGTGGTATTTGTAAAAATAGTCGTACACTTGAGAGCATCCTCAAAGGCAGTGGGGAGAGAGGCAAGGAGAGAGGATCGGGTGGGCTTTAGGGTCCCTGCAGGTCGCTTTGCTGCCAGGAATTCAGGGCACTTCAAAGAGGGATGCAGAGTACTTCAAATGCCAGTCAGGTGCTCCATGAAACAGAAACCGAAGTCGAAGCCCTCCCGACTGGGCTGAGGCCCGAGTCCTAGTAATGAACTTGCTTTCAGTTGGAAACACTTGCCCTATTCTGGGCAAATACATTTATCTCTGCATTTGCCCAGCACCTCCTGGTTAGAAATAACATTTGCTGTGATAACCTAAGGGCAGTGTCTCCTTCTAGCTCTCACTTCTTTGGGGGAGAACGTGCAAGTCGTGTTGGGGAGACTGGGTGCAGCTTGGAGACTTCGGTCTGTTTGATTCCAGGCCAGTAACTCAGCTCTGGCCCCTTGCATGACCCTGCTATGTCCCCAGCCAGCCCCAATACCCCTCGACCATTAGATTTCAGCTACCGGGAGGAGAGGGGCTCTTGTTTCTGAATTGCTCGTGTCAGCCAGCAATGGCCTCTCTCTGATTCAGAAACAAAACGCTCTGACTCATAGGCCATGTAACTAGGTCCTCTTCCTGGGCTGCAGAATGTTGCCTTGTAGAGAATTTTCCCTGCCCCCAAACTGTGGCTCTAGTTATACATAATCCAGTCTACAGACATCAAGGTCAGAGCAATGCTTTTTGTACTGTGCTATGGAAACATCCTGTTCCCTCAGATTCATTTGGCCCAAAGCACCTAAATCACTTATTTTCTCTGCTTTCCCTTCACCCTATCTTCCACACCCCCTCCCCCGCCCCCCAAAAAACCCCCTCCAGTCCAAGCTCAGCCGTAGAAAGTTCTGTTGTTCTAATCATCCCCTCTAGACTGATGAATGGGTCAAGTCCCTCCCCCTTCCCCTACAAAGAAGCACACCTCCTTGTTTACACTTTGCTAACAGTTCCTGGTTGTCCTGTCAGGAAATGTCAATGACCTTTTTGTGATAGACTTCGAATCTGTTTTTCTAGTGTTAACATAATACATTTTACGTTTGCCATGACCATTTCTCTTCCTTCCCCCACTGCTGCATCCGGGTGCCACATTCTCCCTGACCCGGCTATGTGTGTGCCTACATGGCACCCAACTGTGTTGGGAATGATCTTTGTCCAGGCTCCTGGGGTCATTGTAAGAAATCACCGGGTGATCAAGCACTAGGTTCTACAAGATAAGTGATATATATATGATATAGAGTGATAAGCAGCTGTCTCTTGTATCCCACAAAGTGCCTACCATAATGCCTTGTATTTTGGTAAAGGAAATATTTGCTAGTGGGAGATGAAGATAAGGAGTGGGATCACTGGGCTCATAAGGTTGGAGAGGTCTGCTCTGGCTAGACCTCAGAAGGCCTGGCCTTTTGACGGGGAAGGGCCTAGGGATTAAGGTGAGTAAGATCTAGGGAAAGAATATAAAAGGCTGTCTGGACTTCAAAACAAAACAAGGCCATTAGTAAGAGAGGCTTTAGGAGAGAAAACTGGAATATCTCTGAAATGTGATTAGAAGAGAGTCTTCAGGGCAGATCAGGTTTAAGAGCTATTGTTTGCCATGTAGTTACAAAGCCTTGCTTTTGGGTTTCGCTGCTCTGATCTTTCCTTGGGGCATCAGTCCTCTTTGATACTGTCTTTTAAAGGAGTATTTTGAGACCCTTTACTTAAAAGTCTAGTGGCAGAATTGCTGAAAATGTCTTCAGTTGTAGCCTTCGGTGTCCTGTCCTTTGTTAGAATCCCACAATCGGTAATTTGTCATCTGAAGGGGCTGCCGCTCTTCACTGTTCACCCCGGGCTGTGTCACCTGTCCCCCCTCCCCCGCCGCCGTGGCATACACGTACACTAACACGACACACTGCCGTTCTTCTAGACTCGCAGGGACACCTTCATTTTGTGGGTGCACCTGTAAGCCTGAATTTTCTCTAGGGTTTCCATTTGTAAGCTGTGTGATCTCTGCCTTCCCTCTTTGCTTTCCTGATGGCATCAACCAGGACCCTCTTCTTCTGGAGTTACTTTTATTTTCATATCTTGATTTGCCCTTTTTTTTTTTTTTTCCCAGGGGAGTAAAAGTCTGAAGAGCCTCATCAGCGGAGACTGTCTTTCCTGCATATGCCTATATGCTCTTTCACGTGCTGGTCCCAGGGGCTGGTTTATTCGTTGTGGTTTGGCCAGTTTTGTTTTCATCCGATGAGTGCCGTTGGTCTAGACCAGAGTAAAACTTAAGGGAAAAGGAAAGGGGAACCTGGCTTAGCGCCAAGTTTCCCTTGTGAGAACACTCCAGAGAGCAGTTGAGTGGGGGCAAGGAAGCCTTCTTGTCTACTGTAATCTCCACGGGGCTTCTGTGGGCACAACTAGACTCCCAGAGAGTTAACAGAACACACAGAGCTGCCGCAAAAGCGCTACTACAGGATAGATGTTCCTGACTCATGCCAATCTCATATTCATTGTTGAGCCTGACTTCCTCCTGCTTCCTCGAAAGATCTAGAGCTGAGAAAACCTGGATTATCTCTTTTCCCAGACATCTCTTCCTGAAAGAGAGGGGCCCTCTCCATCCCTACCACCACACTTTCTGTCGAGACGAAGAGGGGCAGGCAGGTGTAAAACAGTGGTAAAATAGGAAATGGCAAGTGGGCACATCTCTGAGTTCCCGGAAGTACCCCCCAGCCTGCAGGCTGAACACGGAACTGAGGCAAGGGAGAGATGGCTTCTGGATGGGCAGGCTCTGCCTTCCTCTCGAGAATGACAGGGAACACGACACATTCTTGACTCTCATTAAAAGCCTCCAAAATGGGCGCCTAGGTGGCTCAGTCGTTAAGTGTCTGCCTTCGGCTCAGGTCATGGTCCCAGGGTCCTGGGATTGAGCCCCGCATGGGGCTCCCTGCTCCATGGGAAGCCTGCTTCTCCCTCTCCCACTCCCCCTGCTTGTGTTCCCTCTCTCGCTGTCTCTCTCTGTCAAATAAATAAATAAAATCTTAAAAAAAAAAAAAAGCCTCCAAAACATTCTCGCTTCCCTTCTTTCCTTGAATTAGGAAGTAGCTTCAGTCAGGGAATTCTACCTGAGCTTAATTTCTGTGTTGTTTTATCCTTTCTCCCTCCCCCTCCTCCCATAAACAGACCTGCGGTGCTAACTGCATTGTACTTCTCTTCCTGTTTCTCTCCCACAGGAGAGGCCTGAACCCCCCTCATCGCGTCAAGTCCATCTCCATGACAACTTTCACTGAGCCTGAAGTAGTATTCCTGCAATCCCGTGGAAACGAGGTGAGCCACCACCCATGGAATGGCTTACTGGCTGTAGTTGCCCTTTGGGCCGGGGGAGCTTTGCCTCAAGACTATAGAAAACCCTACAGCTTTCTTTTTTGGTCGAGTTTCTTTTATTTTTTTAGTATATAGCATATCTCGTCTTAGGTATATTTGTATATCTGCGGAATCTTATGTATGCAAATTGTGGTTTGTCTAGGCCTCTGTTAGAGGAATGAGGAGAAGGAGCAAAATCTCTGCAGGGGGTGACTCCTGGGCACTCACAGGGAAGACTGCCCCTTGACAGTTAGAGCTCCACATTGCTGAGCATTCAGAGTTGACTGGGCTGGCCCCTCGGAGTAAAATCTCCTGGAGCCAGCTCTACCCACCTGACCCTCAGCACTGTGGGATTAAGCCCATGCCATGTACTCGAACGTGGGTTAAACCCCTTCCCCAGCTAAATCTGCAGGCGGTGGAAGGACGCTGTCCTTGTTGTTAGCAGTCCTCCTAGCTTGCAAGAATTGGCTTACTTGGAGGGCGCCAATGAAGGAAGGCCTCTGGAGGGTGTTCTGGAAGACACAGCTCTGATAATTGTCCCTGACCCCACCCCCATCGAGATTTAGTTCCCCATAATTCTCATGGCCCTCTCTTTTCTTTTATAAGTTGAATCATAATATGTACTTATAAATCTATTTTTACTTACCTAAGGCACGACCTCCCCATTAGATGGTCAACTCTGGGAAGCCAGGGATTGTGTCTGCTTTGTAGGCATACCCAGACCCTCAGCTGTGTCTGTGCTCAATAAGTATGTATTGATGAATAAACTGGAAGTGGTATCATTCCCATCCCATGCTTTCTGCCTGAACTCCTCTGTTACCTGATTCCATTCCTTTAGGTTTGCAGGAAGATTTGGCTGGGTCTTTTTGATGCTCGGACATCTTTAATACCAGATTCCAGGGATCCTCAGAAAGTGAAGGAGTTTCTCCAGGAAAAATATGAGAAAAAGAGATGGTAAGGAGGAGGAAAGAGATTGCTACGGAGACCCATGTCCCAAGACATTCTTCATCTGACAGTCCAGTGTATAGACTTGAATTGGGGCTTTTCTCAAAGGCCAGACTTGGGTTGAATGGATTCCACCCAGCTTCAGTTAGGGCTCAATTCTGACTTCAAAATTATAAAACTACCGAAAGGACAACTTGTTCCCAGTCACTAACCCTGCAGATTTGATGCTCCTCTTTTGGAGAGAAATTAGACTGCGTGGAGAGGGGCTGGGCCTGTGGGAGTGTGGGGCAGGTTAAAGCTCAGCTGGGCCCATATATGCAGAGAGGCAGCTGGAAGCACCATGTCCTAGAGCTCTGTGCTTTTAGCCCATCGTTTTTCCACGATTTATGTGTGTTCTGTTTTTCTGGTGACGAGGACAGCATCTCTGCTCTCCCTTGCCTTTTCTCTCCCCAGGTGGCACTTTCTATGGCTTGATCTCAGGGGTGTGTGCATGTTGGGGGGGTAGCTTTGGCTGGAGAAGAGAATGCAGACAGCAAGGAGATCGATGTGGACAAAACAGCATTTTGGGGCCCTTCCTGGGGGTGTCCTCCAGGAAAAGAAGATACTTCCGGAGTAGGGACCACATACATACAATGGAGTGGAGGGCATTTTATCAGAAGTCGCAGAAGCTAACAGGATAGACTGTGAGCACTTAGAAGAGGAGGTGGCAGAAACTTTCTGTGGGACTGAAAAGGAGGAACTGCAGAAACACCTAGAAAAGAAAAAGGAGGTTGGAAAATAGGATCACCTGTCCAGCAGCATTATTGACGGGTTATTACTTGAAATGGGTTGATGTCAGAGAAAGGAGAGAGGAGAGAAAAATAGGCCCAAGGCAGAGTGACGTGAACATTCCCACAGAAAAGAATGAGCATCTGACAGTAAAGGGGACGCTCAAGATGGGCAGAGCTTTGCTGAGTTACGAAATTCCCTTTAGCTCAAAAATCAGAGGGCAAAGGCCGAGGGACCCGGACTGCTGCCACCCGTGCTTCCCAGGTGCCTACACTGAGCACAGCCCATGGTGTTACCCCCTCCTTTCAGCCTGACTATTCTTTCTCAAAGGTATGTCCCCCCAGACCAAGTCAAGGGGCCCGCTTATACCAAAGGCAGTGCCTCCACCCCCATCCAGGGCTCCGTCCCGGAAGGGAAGCCCCTGCGGACTCCTCTGGGGGATCCCGTGCCGTCTCTCTCAGCTGCTGCCTCCACCTCTAGCCAGGTAACTCTCAGACCTGCCCTTCGAGACTAGTTGGGGATTTGGGAGACAGGGATGTCAGTTTCCTAAATCCAACCCCCGGACTTAGCAGACGACAGTATAGCTGGTGTGAGTTGGTTCTCGGCCCTGCTGTTACCTGTGTCTTGGACTCACCTTGGCCTCCTATCTTTTGGAAGAAAGAACCCAACAGGAAGTGGTATTTAGGGAAGTCGGAGTATCGACTTCAAACCTGACCTTTGCTCCAAGGAAACGCAGGAGGGGCCGGGACACTGCCTCCAGCACCCGGGAAAGATGAGGAAGTAACAGCTTGGGGGGCGGGGGGGGGGGGGGGGCTCTTGGCAATATCCCCTGTAGCTCAGGGTTACTTTCACTGATAGGCTCTAAAATGTCTGCTTCCAGGAGGTGGTGTGCTGAGAAGACAGAGAAGTTAGGTATGCGAGGGGCTCAGGCAGCTGCTGCCCAGGAAGTCTCTCAGTTGAGGGCAGTTTCTCCCTCTCTTCTCTCTCCCCTTGCCTATCTGGGGGCAGCCTAGGGAGCCATGCAGGGGCCGGGACATGTCCGGTCCTCCAAGTGCTCTATGTCATGCCTTCTCCTCTCAAGTCTGTCAGTCAGTCTCAGCCTCGGACGTCCCAGCCCCGGAGCTCTCAGCCACCTCCCCACTCCTCGGTCAAGAAAGCCAGTACCGACCTGCTGGCCGACATAGGTGGAGACCCCTTTGCTGCTCCCCAGGTGGCACCAGCTTTCGCTGCATTCCCAGCCTTTGGGGGTAAGTGGGACCTGGGAGGAGAACATTCCACAGTGTATTACCCCTGACACAAGGCCATTCACGCCCTTGGGGTGACCAGTAACCGCCCCCCCCCCCCCCCCGCCATCTCTAGCTCCCCTCCCACAAATGAATGTGATGATAATCCTGAAGCATCAAGGTTGGAAGGGCTGGGGTCAAATGAGAGCAGCCCGGATTATGTCTGCAAGTTTGACTAAAAAACATGACAGTCGGGGACTATCCACACTTCCTTTCGGAACACTGGAAATCGCCTTTTTATTACCTTCTTTTTCCGTTAAAATGGGGGCAGGGGGCTTGTCATGTGTTCCATTTCCCCTGCTCTCTTCCCAAAGACCAGCAGCAGCCGGTTGAATAAAATGGTATCTAGTTTCCTTTCTTCCTTTCAAGCCCCTTCCCCCACCAAAAACAACTTTTCTTTTTTTTTTTTTTTCACATGATTCAGCCCAAAGTAGGCCCTGACAAAAATGGGAATGCCTCGTGGAGTAAGGATAAAAGATGGGGCGCCTGGGTGGCTCAGTCGTTAAGCGTCTGCCTTCAGCTCAGGTCATGATCCCGGGGTCCTGGGATCGAGTCCCACATCGGGCTCCCTGCTCGGCGGGAAGCCTGCTTCTTCCTCTCCCACTCCCCCTGCTTGTGTTCCTGCTCTCGCTGTCTCTCTCTCTGTCAAATAAATAAAATCTTTAAAAAAAAAAAAAAAAGGATAAAAGATGGTGGGGAGTGAACTTGGAGGCCTCTGACACCCCATGTCCCCCAGCGGGTGTCTGGCCCTCTGCCCAGACCCCTGCCATCTCTCCCTGAACAGGACCCTGTGGAAAGGCAGTGTCCCATCAGTGGCCTTTGGCCTTCAGAATTAGTGCATATTATATCGATTATATGTCCATTTTATATATTTGACCTTTACATTCCCTCCACCTGTAGGCCAGACACCTTCCCATGGAGGATTTGCCAACTTCGATGCCTTTGGCAGTAGCCCCAGGTCCTCTGCATTTGGAAGCATTCCTCCAGCTGGCCAAGGCCCGTTCCAGGCCCAGCCAACACCCACAGGTAAAGTCTGCCCTGCTCTCTTCTGCTGCCCTTCTCTCTTCCAACTGCGTTCAGTTTTCCACATCCACACATCGCCCTTCATTCGCATCTGCACCAACCTAGAGAGCTGGGCAAAGGAGACAGAGAAGGAAGAGAAGCAGGCCCGGGAAAGGGGGAGAGGGGTCTGAGGAGATTCTTGGCAGGAAGAGGGGCCCTCCTGCTCCATTTTGTCCTGGAAGGAAAACAGCTCAATCGCAGCAGCAGTTGTGCAGGGTGTGTATAGGAGATCTCTGACCGGAAAGTTGGGGAGACCCCAGTCCTCGAAAACTCAAGAGTGGACGTGACCTCTCCTCTGGAGTGCTCTGATGGTCCATGTTGTGCACTGCCCAAAGAGCGAGGGCTGGGTCAGAGTCCAAGATAGTCTCCGGAAGTCCTCACTCACCCCTGTTAGAGCAGAACACTGTAAACTCAGTGTTGTGTTGTTTAGCAATTGAGACAACCTCTCCCCAAAAAAGGAGACCCTAAAGGCCGCTGCTGTAAAGCATCTGGCTCCTCCCTGAGTCCCCAGACATCAAGTCTTCATAGCGTTGGGGCTGGCCCTCTACCTTTGTCCGTCCTGGACACACGGGAGGGCAGCCCAAGTGCTCTAAAGACCCGATGTCTGGGGAAAGCCGGTGACTTACGCTCTCTCTTTCTCCCTCCCCCCCCACCCCGCCCACCCTTCCCCTTCTCCACCCTCACTGCCAGCCAGTCGGATGCTAACTGGAAGTTACAGCTTTGGTGAGTTATTCTTCCAACTCCACAGCCCACCCAAAGTAGAAGCCTATCTCAGGTCCTCTGAGCCAAGAGCTTTGAGGTCTGGGAGGAACCCTTCAAATGTAGCCGTCTCCCAGCAGTTAAGCAGTTTCCCTGTCGTGCAACCCACAGCGTGGCAGAGCTCGGCCCAGAGCCCAGACTCCCTGACTCTCGCTCTGCCCACAGCCTTCCCACTGTGCCACCGCGAACTGTCTGCGTGCTTTTGTTTTTATTTTATTTTTCTTTTCTTTTGAATGGGACAAGGAGGGACATTTTATACTGATAAAAGTTAAAATTCACAAAGAAGTTCTCACGTTACCAACTTCAAGTACCTGACAGGGTAGCCTTGAAAGTCATAAAGCAGAAACTGTTAGACACAGTGAAAATGTAACAGCAACAGAGAGGGGGATGGTAGTGGACTCGCAAGATCAATAGTCGATAAAGTAGATAGACAAATAAGGAGGAAAGGAGGCCGTTTGAGTGACACTTGAACAAGTTTGACCTAATACATCTAAGTAGAACTTTGTAATCAAAAGACAGGATTTTCAAACACGGAACCCTTTTATAATTTGACCACAGACCAGAAGACACCACATAAATTTCTAACAAATAGAAATTGCTTAGGTCACATTCTATATGATAAAAGGTGTCCCAAAAGATGTCCCATAACAATGTTTCATTGTCCTTAAAGGCCTGAAACAGGGAAAAGATAATTACAATATGGAAAACAGACAAAAAGCTAATAGCCATCATGTGTTTTTTTAAAACTCCTATAAATAAGACAGAATAGGATAACAGGCAATGGATACAAGCAGCTAATACCCAGAAAAAAAATGATGAAAATGTTCTCAACCTGACTAATCAGGGAAAACACAAATTAAGAGTAAGATAATAATTTCACACATTGTATTCACAAAAGTTTTAAAGATTGGTAATGGCCAGTACTGTGTGGGGAAACTGGCCCTTTTGCATGCTATCGGTAAGAATGTAAGTTGGCACAGGACTATTCAGTGTAGCAAGACGGAGGTGCTCCTCAGAATGAGAGCTTGAAAGGAAGCAGCTTGTACGAGGTGGTTATAAATTGGTCCGGTCAGAAATGCATGCCTGTTGGGGCCTGGGTGGCTCAGTGAGTTAAGTGTCTGCCTTGGGCTCAGGTTATGGTCCTGGCCACCCGTTGGGCTTCCTGCTCAGCGGGGAGTCTGCTTTTCCCTCTCCTTCTGCTCCTCCCCTCACTAGTGCTCACGCTCTCTCTCTCAAATAAATAATCTAAAAAATAATAATGATAAAGAAATGCATGCCTGTCACAATCCCTTGCCTAAAGGGCCAACCTTTAAAGGAGAGAAGGAAGGTGCCAGGAGCCCTCCCTGGCCAAACCTGGGGTGAACTTGCGTCCAGTGTCTGGTCATCTCAAAAAGCAGACTCTGCAGCCAGCCAGAGCCAACCGGCCCTTGTGAGGCTCCTGCCACTGCTAGGAGCATCCTCATATTATCTCCACGAAGAAGGAAAGATCTCATTTTGCAGTTGACAAAACCGGCTTCACTTGGCCAGTGACTTGGCCAAACCCGAATGGCTGATGAATGGCAGCTCCCATTCACTTCCCACCGCACCGGGATCACGAGAGGGTGGTTCTCCGAGTGTGACATAAAGAACTACTGGGGATGAAGTAGGGAGAATTGGGTGAGAGGTGGGTGTCTTTTCTGACAAGCCTGGCTGTATTTTTATATTTCTGAGGGGGAGTCTGGAGAGGGGAAGTTTCTAAAACTGCAGTTTCCCCTGAAACTGCTAGAAGGTATGTATACCAATCCAGCCGCAGGGAATGGGGCTCTGGAAGTGCAGAAGAAGACAACAAGAGCGCAGGTATTCCTAGGTTCCCTGAGAAGGGCGGAAAGTGCGGGGTCGACCCGGCCGTGGCGAGGGTGGGCTCTGCCCTCTAGCGTCTGCCAGGAGACACACAGCCAGGCGGCAGCAGGGCAGAAGGACAGCACCTCCCCCAGCCTGGGAGCTCCCTGACCTGACGGAAAGGCCCAGAGCAGGACTGAAGAGTCTGACCTTAGTGAGGACAGGGAGCTGTGTTCACTCAGAAATTCCACCTACCCCGAGTCATAGCCCAGGAAAGGCCAGGGGACCCTGAGAACCAGAAGATTCAACACTAGGCTGCTGGCTTCCAGTCTTCCTGACGCCTGGGGCCTGGAGAGGACAGAGCCCAAGTGTGCTCAGTGGCGTGGTAGCCTAGCACTTGTCCCTGTAGAAAGGCCAGGGGCTGAGAAGGAGGGTGGCCAAGGCGAGCACAAGGGAAGCAGCCCACCCTTGGAAGCTCGGAGCCGGCAGGCCAGCCCTGGGCACCTGCCTTCCCTGCTGGACTCTGCTTCTCCAAGTCAGAGCCGAGATGCCTAGCACCAGGAAGATCCCCTTACCAAAGGGCTTTGGATCAATACAGCCTTACCCTTTAGGGAAGGAAGAGCATCGAGTTTCAGATGATAGTTCCAGGGTCTTCAGAAAAAAAGCCCCAAACTTAGGAGAAACCAGGCTGAAGTTTGAGGGGACCAGGGAGCAACACAGATTTGAGAACCAGCCTGGCTTGGCCATTCGTCCCTTGCCTTGTGTCTTTATCTTTCCCTTGCCCTTCTTCCTCTCATCTCTGGTATCTTCCCTTGTGACGGTTACCTGCTCATCCTTCCTACTCTCTACAGGGTTTTTCCCAACAGTTTTCTTAGCTGAGTCTCCCCTCCACTCTGTCCACCTCTGCCATCACATTCCCCCTTCCCCACAAACAGGCTTCAGGTTATCCAGCCTCCAAACATTTCTGCAGCCCCCCCCACCGCCCCTGCTCAGCTGCTGTCCTACCGCCTCTCCATTGCCATGCCCCTGGGAAGAGGAGCCTGTGGCCTTCACTTACTTTTTATCATTCTATTTTCTTTCTCTCTCTCTCTCTTTTTTAAAAAGATATTATTTATTTATTTGACAGAGACACAGCAAGAGAGGGAACACAAGCAGGGGGAGTGGGAGAGGGAGAAGCAGGCTCCCCGCCGAGCAGGGAGCCCGAGGCAGGGCTCGATCCCAGGACCCTGGGACCATGACCTGAGCCGAAGGCAGACGCTTAACGACTGAGCCACCCGGGCGCCCCTCTCTCTCTTTTTTTTTAACACACTTGGTGGCATAATAGACATACTATTCTGTACCTTGATTTGTTTTAACTGAACAGTACTGCTAGATTTTTTTTTATCAGCACATGAAATGCTTCCTCATTGTTTTTTAATGGCTGCACAATAGTCCTGCTTATGTATATACTGTAATTTATTTAATCCATCCCCTGTTGATGACTACGTAGAACGAATGATGAATATTTAGTCTTTTGCCTACAAACAGCGCTGCTGTGAATCACCCTGCATGTGTCACGTTTTGCACATTTGCAACTGATATCTGTGAGAAACCTGGCAAGGGAGTTGGTCTAGAGGGGGACACAGTTGATAGAGAAACAAAAATATGTCACTACAAAGATGTCGAGTGCCATGGGGGCGAAGAACAAGGTGTTAGGAGAGGAAAACCAGGCTCTAATGCAGACTGAGGTCAAGGCAGGCCCATCTGAAGACGTGGTTCTGTTAAAGCCCGAAGTGGGGGGCAGGACCGTGGGTGGGGGCTCCTGTTCAAGGCAGAGCGCGTGGGAAGACTGGAGCTGAGAGTCCAGGCGAGGCTCTCGTTCACTTGTGTTTACCACCTAAGCCAGCCATCACCTTTCCTTCAAGACCTTGTCTTGTTTCTCTGACCGCGGAAATAGTTTCTTCTATCATAGGCTATGATGATAGCTCACATTTATGCACGCTTTACAGACTGCAGAATACTTAGTTGAAAATACTTACCTCAGCGGAGGGGGGCGGTGTCCTACAGCCATCCTATGAGAGGACAAGCAAAAATATGGGCTCAGGAGAGTAAGATGGTTTGCGCAGGTCACAGCAGTAGCAGGGGGTAGGGCCCCGACTGGAGTCCAGTCCTTCTCACTCTACCTCTCACATAGTCATTCAGCAAACAATTTCTGAGCACCAGCATGTGGCAGACACCATGCAAAGCGTGTTTCCCTTCGGTTCGAGTCTTCCAGCACTCATAAAAATCAAGCCTTTTCCGTTTGTAGCCTCATTTTACCCTCACAACAGCCCAGAGTGGTTGACTGGATCCCACCGTACAGATGAGGCTGAGACACGCAGATAAAGAGGCTTTCTCCAAAGGACAGGGACTTCCTGGACTTGCTCCTCAGGCTGTTTCGTACGCCTCCCACGTGGGCTCGCCCTCGGGGCTTTTTCTTTTGAGATGTGAGGACCAGAGAGGGCAGAGGAACCCTGATCTAAGCTCCTGGCTTAGGGTGGCCTCCCGAGAGGGGGCAGCTCCGGTGGGAGTGGGAGCTGAGCTGTCTGTGCTCCGCTGTGGGCTCCACCTTCCATGAGAGGCTCCCGAGTGTCTGGGCCTTTCTGCCCTTCACAGCTCCTGCCCCCATCCCCTCTACCTGCCCCTTCCTAGGCTTTATCCATACATAGAAATGCTGGTTTGAGGAAAGGACAGACATGTCCACGGCTTGAGGAAAAAATGGGAACTCTAAGTCAGACTACAGCAGGAGGGACACTGACCTGACACCAGGGCGGGCCGCTTTCTCTCAGCAGCGGCAGCTTTGAGCACTAAGGAGATTGACAAAGGCTGAGTACCATGTTACCCAGAGTTCTTGGCGGCAGTCAAGGCCCTCTGAACCGGATGACCCAGGGGGAAATGGGCTCAGAGAACCCAGTGGGTGCACTCGTGCCATCACTCTGCTCCGTCTCCCTGCCCCCCCACCTCCATCTCTTCTCCTACCCCTTCCCTCCTGCCTCACCCCAGCACTCCCTGTTCTGTTTCCTGTGACTGCCCAGGGAGCAGCCAGGTGACTCCATTTGCGGCCTCTCCTCTCGCACCTGCCAGTCAGCCCAACAGCCTCGCAGATATGGGCAGCCTCCTGGCGCCCGGAGCGTCACCTGGAGGTATCCCTAGCAGGTACGTCCAGACGTCCGGGAGTCTGCCTTGGGGCTGCAGAGCCTTGCTTTTCCCAGCCTGCTCAGCTCCTCCTGTCGGGCAGGACAGGGTTTGGCATCTCCTGGTCCCTTGCATTGCTTCTCCCCTTGACCCCCAGTGCCCTGCATGCTGACTTCTCTTCCCACATCACAGCATCTTCGGGGTGGCCGGCCAGGTCCCCACGCTCCAGTCGGCCACAGCTGGTGGAGGCGGCAGCACGGGGCTTGCCTTTGGAGGTGAGTCTTACCTGTGGAGACCCAGGGAGGGGATCCAAAGCCAAGAGGAACCTGGGGACTCTGCAGGGAGGCGGGGGGAGAAAGAGCACACCAAGATTGAGAGGAATGCTGTCATCCGAGTATTAACCAGATGAGAAAAGAGTAACCCTCTCTTTCTCCCACCTCTACCCCATTCCACCCTGAGCAGCCTTCACCAACCCTTTCACAGTACCTGCCGCTCACCCTCAGCTGCCTTCCACCAACCCGTTCCAGCCCAACGGCCTGGCCACAGGTAAGCCTCCAGACTGCCCTGGCCCTGACTCTCTCCAGGGCGCAAATTCCTCTCTGCCTCCTTCTCTCTTTCCCTTCTCTCTCTCTGTCCCTCTCCGTCTCTCTCTCTCTCTCTCTCTCTCTCTCTCACACACACACACACACACACACACACCCCACTGTCAGGAGGAGTGGCAGACAGCCTCAGTCCTCCTCTCACCCTTCACCGGGCCAGACCAGGTTGAACTTCCGGGCCGCCTAGTGGGCAAAGAGTAGAAGCACCCAAGTCCCAGAATCAGAATTTCACAATTACGAAAAGCAGACTGCTACTGACCTGAGCCGGTTCTGCGACTGACTGGCAGGACTCTCCCTTCTTGCCCCTCGGCAGTGTGCACCCCCCTTCTGTGTCCCACCTGCAGCCTTGCCCCTGGTCCCTGCTCTCATCAGCTGGAGTGTTGTGATCTCCTCGCTCCCTATTCCTCTGCAGCCTCAGCTCTTCTATCTTCAGAGGCATGCTCCCCCACCCCCACCCCTGCCTTTTGTTGTTGTTGTTCTTAAAAACCTTGAGGCCGGGAAGAGAGACTGGTAGCAGCTGGCACCACTGACCACTGACCCATGTGGCAAACCCCACTGCTGAGAGCTTTACAGCCCTTATTGGCTTTGCCCAGCAGCCCTAGGAAAGGGGCCCGGCCCACTTTTAAGAGATGAGACCACTGAGGCACATACACAGAGGGCTAATATTTTGCTTTCATTGGTGCAGTTTAATCGAAGCAGGCAGCTGACCCCGGTTCTGGGCCCCGCCCCTGCTCGGCACCTCTGTGCCCTCCGTGCCACAATCCACCGTGGACAGGAAGAGGGCAGGTTTGCTAGGTTGCATGGAAGCTGAAGACTTCCATGGCTCACTCAGGGTACTTTTACTGGGTACCTCTGGATAAGGACACACTCTATCCCATGTCCCTATCGTGGAGAGACCTAGGAAGAACCGTTCTCCAGCCTGCCTTCCAGAACCTCGCCTGAACTTCATGTCCTCGTTCCACAGGGCCCAGCTTTGGGATGAGCAGTGCGGGGCCTGGCTTCCCCCAGACAGTGCCACCCACCAGGGCCTTTGTCAGCACCTTCCCACCACCACTGTTCCCCCCACAGACCTCGATGACTCAGCAGCAGAATGGTAAGGGATTCAGACCACACCCTCCTTTCTTACCCCCATTCCCCACCCCCAGGGCCTGCCGGAATGCAGGGGGGTGGCAATGAATATTAGGACTATTAGGGAGCCAGACATCTGAGCTAGTTCCCTTTTGGACCAGTAGGGGGGGCCAGAGAAGCCACAGACCTGCCTGTGTCCTCTGACTCTGCTCCATACCCTTATTCCCCGACTTTAGAAAGGCCCGTTCTTGCGGCCACTGTAGGATGGAGCGGTCCCTGCCCTGCAGGGAGGCCCAGCGGAGTGGTCAGCATCAGCATGAGGGGCAGGGCTTATGTCAGCCTAGTTTCTGCTCTTGCTTCCCAGGTTCTTCCTTCAGCGATTTAGGATCAGCCAAGCTGGGACAGAGGCAACTGAGCCAGCCAGCTGGGACCTCTACCAACCCCTTCATGGTGAGTGCGGGTATGGCCTCTCTCTGGGGGTCGGGGACAGAATCCTTCGAGGAGGACAGGACAGTGTGGGCTGGAAGCTGTGCCCCTCCCTCGTGAAGCCCTGCCTTGGCCACGCAGGGGTGAGTGGGTTAGTCAGTGGGCCCTGTTGTCTCCCACACTCCCCCACCCCCTACTTGCCTCAGCCCACTGACCTTCCCACAACCCTCAGCACAGTAATTCTGGGGGAGAAAGGAATCCTGGACTGCATCTTTTCTCTGGTCTCCAGCTCTTCTCCCCTAATCCCCTAATTTGTGGTTGTTGTTTCTTTCCAGACTGGATCCTCATCAAGCCCGTTTGCCTCCAAACCTCCAACCACCAACCCATTCTTGTAGCACTTTGTCCTGGGGGGGGGCTCTTCCCTGTCCTGTGGGGCCCCTCTACTCCCAGGAGCTCTGGTGACCATTTGCCTGTGGCATTTCTGTGGGTCTGAGACCAGAATGGGCCTTGTTTTGTAGGGAAGGGGTCTTGGGGATGGTGGAGGTGCTAATGCTTTGCTTGGGGCTTGCAGATAAAAGGGCAGCTTCCCGGGTCAGCTGCCCCCAAGGCTTCCTCCCATCCTCCCTCCAGCCCCTACCCAGGCAGGAGGCCCAAGAGGAGAGAAGGCAGGGCCTGGCCTAGAGGAGTGATGGTGTTTGATTTCTCAAATTATTAATTATAATGACAATAATCCTCCTCTCCTGCCCTCAGCATACATAGTGGTCCCTTCACTCCCAACCGTGTGGGCAGAGGAAGCTGTGGGCACAGACTGACCCGCATTCCCCTATGGGAGCAAAGCCTTCCCCCATCCCCAACTTTCCAACACTGGTCTCCTTGTGGACAGAAGCACAGTGGGAAAAGCAGGGTCAAGGTGGAGTTAAGGCATGGTGTTGACCTGGGACAGTGATCAGACAGGCTGAGAAGGCTGAGGGGGGCTGGGGAGGGGCGCTTGGGCCAGCATCCCCCTTTTCTCCCCACTCCTACCAGGGCAGAAGGCCCTCCATGGTTTTGCTTCCCCAGCTCTCTCCCTCATCCTGGGTACTCAGGATGAATAATAGTTTTACCTACATACTTAGACATGCCCAACTCCTGTCAAGCACTTTAGTTTGCTGTGGTGTCATGTTTGGATACCAGTGTTTTATATTTATACATAGAGAATTTTCTAATATAGCCTATTATATATATATACGCACACGCGCACACACATAGAGATATATATACACATGCCGCCATTCTCCTGCTCCCAGACAGCTCTTCCACATGGGGAATGGAATGGATCCCCATCTGTGCCTCGACCAGCAGAGCGGGAGCTCCAGAGGGTGGTGGGGAGGGCAGTCACAAGTCCTGACCACCCCCAGAGCCTGGGCTTTTCCAGGGAAAGGCTTTGTGCAATTGGCTGGTTTTCTCCTTTCTTTTTCCCCATGTGCCTCCCCCACCCCCCAAAATCTCTGCACCAAAGCTGTCGCAGGCAATGTTGGAAAAGAACTGCATTTGAAAGAAAAGGGAAATGGCTCTCATGGTCTCACTTTGGGTTAGTTCCAGGGGCCCCAGCGTGACTGCTGAGTCAGTGAAGATGATGCTGTTGGCCAAGGACAGGAATTCCTTGCCGGCCATGTTAGCAGTGGGAGTTAGGTGGCTGCAGTGAGGGGGTGACTCCCCCGGGGGTGCCAGTGACACTCCAAGATGGACATGGTGGGACCTGAGTACAGGAGTAGACCGCTCACAGGCCGGTGCATCCACGGCCCCTCCCCAGACTGTTTTTACCTGAGGATGTTGTGTCAACAGCCATGGTGTCCGGGCTGTTTGTGTGGTGACAAGGTGGCCAGTGTGGGTTAAATACCTCACGTGGCAGCGGAGAGGCCCAGCGTTCAGCCTTGCTATCAAGACACGTTCCTCCCTTTTCCACATTGCGCAGGGACTCTGGCCCTTCAGCTGTTCATTCCTGGGATTCTCTGGGTCTTTCCACCCAATGACCTTTAACGGCAGAACAGCAAGGAGAGGTGGGGACTGTGTTATCACTTTATTTACTTTGAGGACTTCTCTAGAAATATTTCTAGCTGCTGCTGTTTGCCCAGCCGGGCGTGGCCTCCCCACCTTTGCAAGGCTCAGAACCCATCCTGTCTTGGGTCTGTGTTTCCATGCTCCCAGACCCTTCCCTCCTTCCATCCCCTGGTGGATCTCCTAGGGTGGACTACCATCCCTGGGTTTTTCACATTCTGTCCCCTTCTCCCAGTATTTGTCTCTGTCACACTTGATTACCTCTCTGTCCCCGTCCCTGTCTGTGTTTCCCATTTTCTCTGCTTGGAACCAGGAAGGGGAGGAAGCTGGCCTGTTGTGGAGGAGGAGGAGGAGCCTTTTCTTATTTTTCCCCAGCCACCCCCAACTCCCTTCCCTAACCAAAAGCACTGAGGTTTGGAGGTGAAATTGAAAGGGCCCTTGCTGCGAGTTTCAGTCACACTCCTGCTGTTTCCCAAGGATCTCCTTACTGCTCGGTGAGGTCCCCCTCCCTGTGCCCCAGAGCACTCTGTCCAACATGGACTCCCGCCAGCTTGCTGGCCAGGGCAGGATGACCAATCAGAGAAGTTACACTGGGTCGGCCTCCAACTCCAGGACAGAAAACCCGAGTTCCCTGGGCACAGGCCAAGGCGAGGACCGCAGCTGCCTATCCCAGCATGGAGCAGCCAAAGGGCCGCCTCCATGGGGCCTTCTGTATCCAGGCGAGCAGCAAAGAATGGGAAAATCCCTGGCCTGCTAGAAAATGTCTAAATGACTGGGCTGTGTTCCCCTTACCTCGCCCCCAGCATGTCCTTGCACGGCCCTGCCCGGTGGTTACACATCGAACCCCAGCTGCAGACAAACCGTGGGGCCACAGGCATGCTATGGAGCTCGCCCAGGCTCCCACTGGGCTTCCGACCAAGCGGCCGATGCTGTGGCCATGCTCTGCAGACGGAGAGTCCTCTGGCTTGGCCCCAGCCTTCAGCAGGTCACTTGCCCCCGTGGGTGAGAATGCAGGAGCCAGTCCCCAGGATGGCTGTGAAGAACTCCATTCCCTCCACATTGGAGCCTGGGAGCCATGGCGGGGCGGGGGGGGGGGGGGGGTTGTGGAGGAAAGAGATGGAGGCTGTCCCTGCATCCCCCTCGACAGAGTGGGGAGAACTGCAGATGGAGGAGGGAGGGGCTGACAGGAACAGCCTTAGTACCCCGGCCTCCTCCCCGTAGGCTCCTGTCACTGGTAACAAGGTTCTTCCATAGGGATTTAGAATGTGGAGATTCCATCCCACGGCTACCCTGCACCCAGCAGAGGGATGCACAGGGAGACCCCTCGGATTGGGGGAGGTGTTCTCACCCAGCAGAGCTGAGGTTCTGCCACTTCCTGTCCCTGGGGAGCAGCTGGAGTTACCAGGGCAACAGGCTAAAATAGATCTCATCTGGGTAGGGCCAAGGGCAACGCTGTTGCTAGGGCAACTGATTAGGCCAGTTGTTGGGCTCCAGCTTTTTCCTGGTACCCGGCACGCTAAATCACCTGCTGCTGCTTGCCCAGAGCCCAGGTCCTCAGATCCCGGCTCCTTCCTGCTCCGTCGGTACCCAGCTCTTCGGGGTTCAGTGACACAAGGTCTCTGAGGCAGGAGCCGGTCTCTCTGAGGCAGCCGTGATTTCACGAGGACTGGGGTGCTGCACGGTGGCCTGGTTGATGGGGAGTGGGAAGGAGTAAGGATGAAGAGCCCCTCCTGTGCGTAGCTTCAAATCAAGCCTGGAGAGGAAGCCTCCAGGCCAGAGCACAGCGGGGCAGCACCAAGCCTGGGAAGGGCAGGGGCCTGCGGCTCTCTTGCTCCCTGCTTTGCACGCGGTACGCCTGTCGAGACCACACTGGAGGCAGTGGCCTTGAACATACTTCTGTTTTGCTGGCCGCTTATAGATCTATCGCATGCCTGCCTCTCCCTGGCCAATACCCACCAAGAGCAGAGGCTGCCACTGGCCCCGGGGCACGCATGAGCTGCCAACACCTCCCCTGCACCTTGGGAAGCTATGGCTGACCCGGATGCACCTGTTGGGGGCCCTGGGCACCACCTGCCTACTAGCCAGACGCCCATCCTCACCATGCTGGTTGGTTCCATGCATCTCACTCTCAACATGACCCTTGAAAAGACGTTCGAGGACCCTAGCTTGCACGCACACTACGCCACTGGCTTCCCCAGTATGCCAGAAGAGTCCCTTCCTCACAGGCCTGGGAAATGGAGACGCGTGGGTGGGAAGGTCAGCCCTCCTGGCTCCGGCTGTCGTGGCCTTTGGACGGGTCTGAGGCAGAGAACAGGCTTCCCTGGCTTCAGTACTCTTGTTATGTCTCCTCCCCCCACTCCCCCATATATCATCTTTAACAGGGTCCTCGGTTGCCCACTTCCCCTCCTCACCCCTTGCCCCCCTCCCCCTGCTTTAGCTCTTACTTGCCACGACATTGATAGCACAAGGTCCTCTAAGGCTCCCACCCATGCGTCAACGCCTGGTGTGTCTTGCAGTGTGCGGTGACCAGCACCATCCCCCCCCCCCCCCGCCCCAGCAGGAGTCTGTGGTCCTTGAAAGGATCAGAAGAGGGGTGTAAAATGTCTGAGTCCCAAACCTATCTCAAAATCTTAGGATGTAAGAGGCAAGGGGTACATCCGCCAGAGAGTCTGCGCCTCTAATAGCCTTTTTGGACAGTGGTGGTGAGAAGGGGCTGAGGGCAGTGAGAGGGAAGTGCCCCTGAGAGATGGTTTTGTCACAGGTTCTCCTTCAGTGGTCTCTTGACTGGAATTCTGGTGGCTAACTTATCTGAAGACCCCTCCTATCACCCTCAACCCAGAGAGAAGCTGAACCTCCAGCTCCTCTGAAATCAGCACAGCCCAATGCTTGGTGGCCCTGGCAACTAGGCTGGCTTGGGAAGGAAGAGTATAGAACCCCTGGGCGGAGGGGGGGGGGGAGGCTGGGAACACAGGGGCTGGACGCCTAGAGTGGGAAGTGGCGCTGCGGTAAGGGCCGTCCCCTAATCGCCAGGACTGCGCACTCCCGACCCAGTTCCACTCACGTTAGCCTCACTTCGCTGCTCCCTTAGCAGTCAGCTCAGATCCGTGGAGACGCCCACACACTCCCCGCCCCTGCGATCCCGGCCCAGGGGTGTTTGGGGTGGGGAGGAGGCCGCCTCTCCCAGACTTTCCCAATGTCCAGCGGCCCGGGGCGCGCGAGGGTTAACCCCGCGGGGTGGGGACTCTGGAGCAGTCGGCGGAGGCAGAGGGAGGGAGGGGGCAGGAGGCGACCAGAGGCGCGGGAGCCGGCCGGGGTCGAGCCTTGGAGAAGGCCGCTGGAGCCCCGCGTGTCGCCGGCCACCGGGCAGTCACTGGGGCACACGCTGCGCGCAGCGAGGGGCCACCGCAGACCCTCTGCCCCAAACTTCAAGTCCGGAGCAGGGGTGAGACGCTGGGCATCAAGACGGGTGGCAACCTGTCCGGACGCTGTCCCCCTCCCCGGAGACCGCCACCTCCACCCGACCTCTGCCGAGTCTCAGCCCCTACTCTGGCCACTACATTGCCTTTGGCCCGGGATGAAGCCCGGAGGCGGTGGCCCCCCGGCGGCCCCGGACTCCGAGCCGGCCGGCGTGCCCCTGGTTCTGCCGCGGCCCTGGGGCTGTCCCGCTGACGTGCGGCTCTGCGGCCACCTGCGGAAGCAGAAGTCCCAGCGCCGCCGCTTCTTCGTGCTCCGCGCCGACCCGCCGCGCCTCGAGTGCTACGAGAGCGAGAAGAAGTTCCGCGCCGGCCGAGCGCCGCCCAAGCTCAGCGTGAGCCTGGCGGGTGCGTGCACCATCAGCAAGCGCGTGGACGCGCGCCAGCGCCACCTGATCGTCCTGTACACGCGCGACCGCAGCCTGGGCGTGGCGGCGGCCTGCGAGGCGGAGCAGCAGGCGTGGTACAGCGCCCTGCTCGAGGCGCGCGCGGCCGCCGGTGAGGCCCGAGCCCCGGGCGGGCGGAGCCGGAGCCGGGGCGGCGGAAGGGCGGGGGGGCGGGAGCCGGGGCTTGGGTGATCGCGAGTTTAGTTTATCGTGGGTCGTCCCTCCCCGTACGTCTCCGAAATCGAGTTCAAACACGAGGCGTTTACACGTGTTTAGTTCTCGCGGCACAGTGACTCCAACCCCCCGGCCCAGGAGCCCCTGTGACCGGCTAGCCCCCTGTCTCTTCAGGTCCCAGCTTCCACGAGGACCCCGGCGCCTGCATTCTCGCTTCATTGCAGGACGTCTGGCCCGTGACCCTGCGGCCCAAGGGACTGGGGCGAACACGAGGCCTGGGCAGCGGCGGCTACCGCCTGTGCCTGGGTTCGGGGGTGCTGAGCCTGCTGCGGAAGCCCAAGGGCACAGGCTCTGGGGACACCCAGGCTTCGCCGCCGCCGCCCGCCCTGCGCCTGCCCCTGCTCAGTGTGCGCCGCTGCGGCCACGCAGACTCTTTCTTCTTCCTGGAGCTCGGCCGCTCGGCGCCCACGGGTCCCGGGGAGCTGTGGCTACAGGCGCCCGACGCCGAGGTGGCCCAAAGCATTCATGAGACCGTACTGGCCGCCATGAAGCGACTCGGGGATGGCGGTGCCGGTGGCAGGGCTGAGCCACCGCCAAGGAATGCCCCCGCAAGCGCTTACAGACCCTCCGCCTCCCAACCTTATGCAGCCCTGGCCTCGGCAGCCCAGTCAAGCGGCCAGAGCCATTGCAGGGGCCTGGCGGAGAGAAGGGGGAAAGCAGCCCTCCGGATGCGGACGGCCGCAGCCTCGCCGCCCGAGGGCTTGGAGCGGGGAGGGGGCTACGTAGCCATGGGAGCCCGGAGCGACTACGAGCCCATGGGGGGTGGCGAAGCAGGTGGCTACATGGTGATGGCGCCCCCTCGCCTTGCGGCCTCTGCCCCCGCAGCTCCCCGCTACCCGCGCCAAGGTGGCGGGGGCACCGAATACGTGCCCATGAGCCGCTTTCCGCCAGGGTCCTTGTCCTCGAGCTCCCTGCCCTGTTTCTATAAGCTCGGGGCTGGGGAGCCTGGACCTTCCTTCCAAGGCCCCCGCCGCAGCATCGGGGAACGTTGGGGACCAGCAGGGGCTCACTCCTCCTTGCAGCCGCCCTCCGAGCTAGCAGGGGAGTACGTGTGCATCAAGTACGTGGCGCCGGACTACTTAGGAATGGGCACCGCCATTCAAGAACCCCCCAACGGCCACCTCAACTACGTGGACCTGGACCTGATCCCTCCGCTGGAGGCTCGAGGCGACGCCCCCGGGGCCAGCAGGAGCCGCCAGCACAGCTATGCCTGCATCGAGTTCCAGAACCTCAGAGAAGCTCCGGTGAGGAGATGTGCGCAGCCCCGCCCTGTCTAGCTGAGGGATGGATGGGGAGGAGGGGAGAAAACAGGGCAAAGTTATGAATGCCTTCCCCCGACCTGTTCCCAAAGTAGAGGGGCTCGAAGGCCCCCTAGGACCTGCAACTTGCAGAAGCTCTGAGTTGCCCCCTTAGGGCCTGCTGCCCACTCCACCCCTTCCAGATGTGGTACCTGGAGATTCTTCAGGAAAGGCTCCCCAAGAAACTGGATTCTTTTAAGGGAGAAAATTCTAGAACCACCCTCCCCCCTTCCCATCCACAAACCCCTACGAACTCCAGGCTTCCTCAGCCAAAGCCCCGATCCTTTCTTTCCCGGCAGAGTTCCTGCAGCATCACTCCAGAGTCTCAGGTCAGCCTTGGCCCCTGACCCCGCCTCCAACGACTTGTCCCACATGGACCTGCTCCTCCCCAGCCCGCACCTGCAGGGCCGGGCGGCCTAAGAACCAGTCCCCCGCCCCAGGGCGCCAGAGCAAGAAGGCTGAAGTACCAGGTATCTTACCTCTACTGCTTCCCCAAAGTGCTGTGCCGCTCCCTTCCTCCCTAATTTCCCTCTTCCAGTGCCAGCCATGTGTTCACACAATCCTCCCTTCTCTGGAGCCTGGTGGAGTTGATGGACTTCTTGCTTCCATATACTTGTCTTCCACATACTGTACTGTGGACCCCCACCCCCACCCTATGCCCTATTAAAGTGGTCCTGCTTGGTCAGCCTGGAAAGGTCTTAGGTCCATGGGTTCCCCTGCCCCCCTGCAGGGGTGACCAATGAGTAACGAGAATTTGAGGGGAGGAGAGCCTAAGCCATGTAAAAGAAGAGACCCCCATCCCTGTCTCCATGCCCCACTCTGCTACTCACTTGCTATAAGGAGCCTGTTTGCAAACCAAAACACTGCTTTATTGTCAACAGAACCTGCCTGGGGGAGTAGGGGACCCCACTCTGCCCACAGAAGAGCTAGGTTCAGTGGGCATCTGGGGTTCGTGGGACAGATGGGTCAGTGCAATGAGAACAGCTGGGGCTGCCACTGGGGCCTGGGTGGTCAGATACAGGGTCTGGGGGGCCAGCAGGGGGCGTGGGAGCCCTCGGGGAGGCAGGTCTCGGAGCCCCCTGGCTCATCTGCAGGAGGCCAGTGAGGGCGATCAGCTCAGGCCCACTGAGCCAGGCAGTGGAGCAGCCCGGGGATGGGGTGCGGAGGACCCAGGGAGACATGATAGGAGGTGGGAGCAGCAGCTTCAGAGAGCCCATGACCTGAGGAGAGAGAAGGGAGAAGTGTCTCCTCCAAAGCCCTGCAGGAGGACTAGCGTGAGGCCAGGGCAGGAGCTGCACTCACCTGCTGAGAGGCCTCTGACAGGTACAGGGGGACACGCTGCCCAGAGGGCAGCAGCGGGTCTGACAGAAAGACATCTTCGTGGCACATCACTGGGAACCCTAGAGAAGACAAGCTGGTAGGGCAGCAGGCTGCGGTTCCCACACCAGCGAGGGCTGCACTGGTTCCCGGGCGAGCTCATGCAGGGCACCTCCAGAGCCGGGGTGGGGGTGAGGGGTGGGGGGGTGGGGGGGTGGGGAGGCGGGGGGTGGCCAAGCAAAGTACCTGCATTCCTGGGCGCATGCTCTCCGTTCTGATGCCCCGTGGCTGGGGCCGGGGGCCTGAGGTCCCGGCCTGGGGCTGCCTCATACAGCGGCCAGAATGAGGGATGACACAAGGTCCGGCCGGAGAAGGAGGCGCCTGACGCACAGCTGGGCCCCTGTGGAAGGGGCAGGAAAGATCACTGGAGCTTCGGTCGCCTCCCAGGGCACCCCTGCCCCGTCCCAAGGCCAGAGCCCGAGATCCTCCCGACTCACCCACACCAGCCGAGGTCCTGCTCTAGCCTTGTAGTGGGGGTCCCATGGGGCTAGCACAGTCATCCTTGAGGGGGCCACCTCCCAGGCCATCTGGGGGGGAAGAGCAACTGGGGGGGAACACTTGAAGAGATTAAAACAGGCTCAGGAGTCGGCGGAAGGTGTCTAGGTGGGGGGCGGGGGGCGGGTAGAGGCAGCAAGGCCTGTGCCTACCTGGGGCTCCTGGGAACCGCTCGGCAGCCAGGCCTGGGGGGGCCCGGGGCGGCAGCTGCCCTCTCCGGCTCCAGGAAGGCCTTCGGGACCGGGGCTGCGGGCTGGGACGGGGAGGTACTGAGGCGCACCCCTCACAGCCTCCCCGGCTATCTCTGAGGCAGGGCCCAGGGGGCCCGGGGCCGGAGTTTGGCACACCCGTTCCTCAACGTGGGCGACGGAGACCTCCTCACACGCTGGGCCCCCTGCCGGACTTCCCTGCGGCGGAGCCCCTCACCTGTCCTGTGGGGGAGTCCCTGGCTCCCCCAGGGCTTCCTCTCCGGAGGTCCAGGCCTCGCCGGGGTCACTGCCCGCCGAGGGGCCTCGTTCCTCGGGCGCCTGCTCTTTGCCCGCGTCCCGCAGCCGAGGCGGCCGGGGCAACATGCCGCGTCTGGGGGAGGGGAGGGCCGCGCGGGGCAGCAGCTCTGTGCCCCGCGTCCGCGCCGCCCGCGCCGCCCGCACCTCCCACCTCCCCCTCCCGGCCCCACGCGGCCCCTCGCGGCCCGTCGCGGCCCGTCGCGGCCCCCACCGCCCGCAGCGGCCCGCCCTTCGCCCCACGAGCCCACGTCGCCGGCCCACCTCTCAGGGCCTCGCGACCACGCCGGCGCCCAGCGCGTTTCCGGGCCACGTGGCGCGCGCTCCCGCCGGCGTCTCGCGGGCGCCCCCTGGCGGCGGGGTTGGCGGCGTCCGCGCGCCGCCGCCGTCCCACACGGAAGAGTGGCGCCCCGCCGCGGCCAGCCGCAGAACCCCGGCGCGGACGTGGAGGCGCCTGCTTGCCCGCGACGCACCGCATTCATCCGCAGACGGACACACACACGCACACACACCCCCCGAGGGGCAGCCTGGAGGGTCCGGCTTCTTCTTTATTGCACTTGACACAACATCCGCCGCGCGTCTTCTATCCCAGACCCTCGGCCACACCCAGATGCGGCCAGGGCCTCGCTGGGCCGGCGGCTTCCAACCCCTCGGGCGGGCGGAGGGGCGCCCAAGGAACAGGGCCAAGCCCGAGGCCGCCCTCACCGGAGTCATTGCTAGGGAGCAGAGGCCGGGCGCGGCTGTCTTCTCTGCTCCTGGGTTCCCGGCCGGGTCGCAGCCCTGCGCCCCGACCTCGACCCCTATGGCCGTTCCAGCAGTGCGTGGATGACAGCAGCGATGTAGGGGAGGCCCCTTCCCGGGGCCCCCTCCTCTTCCAAGATGTGATGGGGCTGGCACAGGGACTCCTGGGGGGAGGGGCCCGGGTTAAGTTCCCCATGTCACCTTGTTCTCTGGCTCCCCTGCCCTTCTCAGAGGGCAGGGTGGGAGAAACCCTGAAGAAGCCTGGGCAAACAGGGCTGACAGGATGGCCCTTCGGGTGGAGGTGGCAAAGGTCAGGGGCACCCTGGACACGGCTTGGGGGCAAACGAGATGCAAGGAAGCTGCCAGTAGGTAACAGAAGGGCGATGACACAGGGGGCCAAGGCTCAGGGTAGGAGAGACCTGTCATTTCCAGAGGGAAATGCTGGAACAGGCAGGCTGACAAACAGAGCCCCAGGGGCACGGCCAGGGCTGGGCCTGGCCACGGCAGGAGCAGACGCCAACACACACACACAGAGGCGGCCACGGTCTGTACAATTTATACACAGAGACAGGGACCCAGCCTGGGCCCCTGTATCCCCTACAAATATAGAGTTCTCTCTACAAAATATAGATAATTTAGCTCCCCATAACAGTGGGGGGACGGTGGGGGGACAGCACAAGGAGGAAGGTTGAGATCTACCCTCCGAGGGAGCAAGGCCTGGAGGGAACGAAGGCACCATCAGCACTGAGAAGTGAGGGAAGGGAAGGGGCTACAGGAGGGTGGCCAGAGGCTGGGGGCCCAGGGTCTGGGTGCACCAGAGTGGGGCCTCTGAGGTCAGTGTTTGTGAGGGGAGGGGGTTCACTAGTGTCTTTGGTAGGGGCTGAAGGCACCACTGGTAGGGACCGGGGTCGCAAAGGAGTCATAAATAGAAATAGGGCAATGGGGGCGGGGAGAAAGGGTGACTTCAGGTCCTAGGAACCCAGGAGCCGAGTGTAGACGACATAGAGCAGCAGCATGAGGACCACGTAGAAGAGGATGAAGCCGCCCAGACCAGAGGGGGGCCAGAGGGGCGGGGGGACCCTGCCCCCCACCCGCCTCACAGCCTCCAGGGTGGTCCACAGCCCCTGGGCGGTGCCCTGGAGGAGATCTGAGGGCGAGCACAGGTCAGCCTGGGAAGGGAGAGTAGGGACAGATGGACAAGGACAAAGAGCAGACGTCAGCAGCAGCAGCGAGACAATCCTGCCCACCCCCTGCCCTCACGTGCCAGGGCCTGAGCCACGCCAACATGCGGAGTGCAGGGAAGGGAGGCATGCAGGGCAGGGAGACGCGCAGGACAGGGACTCGAGGACATGCTTCCTTCTGGGGAGCAGACACCCCTGTGAATGGAACCCTGCCACCCATGCGGAGTGCTCAGCTGAGCCCAGGACGTCGCCACTCTTTGTAGTAGGGACCAGCCCTGGGCTCCCGAGAACATACCCCCCCATACCTCAGGCACCCCCATTTTTCGACAGGCTTCTAAGAAACTCTCCACATTTTTCCGAGACTTGAGAGCACTAAGTTTTGGCTGGGGGAGGGCGAGAAAGGAAAAAGAGAAGAGAGTAAGGGCGAGGCCCCGGCAGTCCTCTGTCCCATCCCCTACCTCCCGCCCTGGGACCCAACTGACCACAGCAGGTGACGGCACGTGGATGAAGGGCACGGAGCGGGGCCGCAGCTGGTTGGCCAGCTGACACAGGATGACCCCATTGGCCAGAGCCTCTGCCAGGTCCTCGGGCAGGGGCCGCTGCAGCTTTGACTCGAGGACCTGGGAGGCAGGAGGGTGGGGGGAGGGGGAGGGGTCAGTGGGGACTCCTGCCCACCCCTTGTGTCCTCAGTGGAAGCACCCACGGGGTGCGGCGGGAAGCCAGGAAACTTGAGGAGGCCGAGCGCGGCCCCCAGCCCCCCACCCCGCCCTGCCCCCCAGATCCCACCTCTCTTACCGGGCGCAGCTGTGCCATCAGCTCCTTCTCATCGAGAAGCTGGGGGGATCGCCGAGGTCTCAAGACAGAGTCTGGTGAGGAAGGGCCTGGAGAAGGAAGAGGAATGTGGGCCGTCTCTTAGCACCTGCCGCCGACTTCCTAGCTGGGCCGCAGGGTCTGGCACCCACATCTCCTGCCTTTGTGCTTATGGGAGTTCCAACACAAGGGACAATAGACTGGAGAACTCCCAGGCCAGAAGGGGTGTCCGCAGCCCAGGGGTGAGGGCTGGGTTAGCACTGGGGACAGGGGAAACCCACCTGAACCACTCTGAGAGGAAGAACGGAAGAGGAAGCTGTTTGGTCTCTGAATGGAGCCGAGTGGCCGGGAAGCAGGCACCGTTGCTGGGGGCCAGAGCCAGGGACAGGTGAGAAAAGACACCCCTCAGAGTCCCACCTTCCCTCAGGCCAGCAGGCCCCAGCCACCCCCTCACCTACACATTCCCCCCTCCTCTTCCCCCAGTCCTGTCCCACCTGGTCCAGCTGCAGGAAGGGGCTCCTGGGGGGCGGGGGCGGGGGCTCCCTGCCCTCCTGAAGCGCCCGGCTGGGTGGCACTGGACTTAGGCATGCCGCTGAGGAGCGACAGAGAGCGAATCAGAGGGAGGGGCAGGGACGGGGTGCGGGGACAGCGCTCGGGGAGGTGGGTCTGGGGGGACACATACTTGTAGGCGGCCTGAACGGACGCAGCACCTCCACCAGCAGCCCTGACCCCCAGCTTCAGAACACTGGAAAATGAAGGCGTGTGGGGCCAGAGCGCAGGCGGGGGACCCGCCAACCCGAGGGGCAGAGGCGCTTACGGGGGCCCATCCCCACTCATGGCCGGCCCCCCCGCCCCTTGCCCACACCTGTCCTTCCTGGGGGCCCCCCACGCCCCACTGTGCTGCTGCTGCTGCCGCCGCTCCCGCTCCTGCCACAGCTGCAAGGTGTCGGGGCGCCGCCGCTCCTCCCCCGCCGGCTCCTCCCGCCTGCGGGGAGAGGCAGGGCTGTGAGGCAGAGCCAGGGCAGGGGGCGGAGGGAGGCGCCAGGGGGCGGAGGGAGGCGCCAGGGGGCGGAGGGAGGCGCCAGGGGGCGGAGGGAGGCTCCAGGGGGCGGAGGGAGGCGCCAGGGGGCGGAGGGAGGCTCCAGGGGGCGGAGGGAGGCGCCAGGGGGCGGAGGGAGGCTCCAGGGGGCGGAGGGAGGCGCCAGGGGGCGGAGGGAGGCGCCAGGGGGCGGAGGGAGGCTCCAGGGGGCGGAGGGAGGCGCCAGGGGGCGGAGGGAGGCGCCAGGGGGCGGAGGGAGGCTCCAGGGGGCGGAGGGAGGCGCCAGGGGGCGGAGGGAGGCTCCAGGGGGCGGAGGGAGGCGCCAGGGGGCTGGCGTAGCGGGAGGCGGGGCTGGCTCAGGGCGCTCGGGCGTACCTGCTGCTGGGTGCCTTCTCGGCGTCCCCTGCCGCAGGTCGTAACTCTGGCGGCCGCTGCTCCTAAGGGAAGAGCAGCAGAGGGGTCGAGGGAGGGTCCCCCCCCCGGCCCCCCAGCCTGCGCCGGCCCCCCCCCCCAGGGCACGTGCACCAGCCCTGGGGCCCTCACCTCAGCAGCGCCTCGCTCCTCGTCCTCCGCAGGCACGTGGCTGTCAATGAAGTCAATCTGCTCAGGGTCTCCGTCAGCTGGGGAGGCCAGGGCATGTCAGCAAGCACTGGGGGCCTCCAGGCACTCGTCCACGACCCCAGCCCCCTTACCCTGACCCCACCACTCACCAGAGCCATCCTCCCTCCGCTCCCTGGGCCCCCGAGGCTCCCGGGCCAGCTCGGAGATCCGGAAGGACAACTCCGAAAATTCATCTGTTGACTAGAAATGCAAAAATGGGAGAGCGCTGCTCTGTGGTGCTGGGGGTTCATGGGGTTCATGCCCTTGGGGTCTGCTGTTGAGCCAGCCCCTCCCTGAGATACCCGGGCAAGGGAAGAAGACCACTCCAGACACCAGCTGTCACTCTGATATTCAGGGGCACCAAGCAAAGGGTCCTGACTCAGAGGTTCTCCCCCCCGGGGGCTGAGACCGCCCAGTGTCTCATGGCAAGGAGGCCCTTACCTCATTTCCAGACCACCTCTTGCTGCCACTGTCAACGCTGTGGAAGCCCGAGTCTAGCCCGCCATCGTACCGACGTCCCGGAAATAAGTCCTCAGCAGGGCTGGGGCCGCCAGGGAGAGCTAGTCAGTCCAGTACCGGGCAGCAACCCCTCTCATCTTCCCACCGAAAACCATGGAGTCCGTGCTGCCAGGAAGGGGCAGTCAGTAACCAGGGGCTTCTTCCTTCCCACTTGGGACTTACCAGGGACTGAAACTCGGGGGGCGGGAAGGGGCCAGGTCCCCCAGTGCAGACGCCCCACGCCGCCCAGCTGCTGTTGACAAGTACTTGAAGATGTGAAGTTTCCCCTTCAGGCAGATCTAGGTATAAGGAGGCACATGGTAGGGGTTAAGGGAAGCGAAGGGGGCTCCCCCCGATCCTGCTTGGCTACTAAAGGGACTCACCTCCCAACTCCTACCCATTCTCAGCCCTGTCCCCATGGTCCAGCCCAAATCCACCCCTCACCTGAGCCGGTGGGCTCTGCAGGGGGTTGCTGTCCAGCAGAATGACCTGCAGGTGCCTGAGGCGGCAGAAGGAGACCGGGATGCGGGAGACACGGTTACAGGAGAAATCCAGGCGGACAAGAGGAAGATCCCCCAGCTCTGGGGGTGGGTGAGGGAAGAGTCAGGAGCCTGCCCAAGGGCGGGGCCTTGTGCTCACTTCCTCTGCCCTCTGCTCTAGCCCACTTGCCACCCTTGGGTCCACCACGTCCTCTGGCCTAGCTGGCTGTGGGCAGTCCCCAGGAACAACCTCCCTCTTCCCTTCCTGCTCAAATCGGGCCCACCTCCAGGCCTCCCCTCCCTGAGCTCCTGCCCATCTCATGTGCTTCTCTCCTCTGCCCCACGCTGCCCACTCCGTACTTCAACCGTTCCTTCATCCCCAAGGGACCATCACAAGACCCAAACCAAACCGCGACATTTCACAGCTCAAACACCTTCCGTGACTTGCAGCCGAGGCTGCTGAGGGTGAGCGGACTGTGCCCTGCACATATGCACCTAGGCAGGAGGGGCCTGCAATCCCACCCGAACTTTACTGGCTAAGCCCCTCCCACCCCAGGCAAGGTTGTGCCCACCCACAGGAAAGGGTGCCTTTTTCTACTTCTCAAACATGCACAGTTGGATGAGTGATGACTAGAGACACAGAATAACACTCACCACTCCCTGGCCAGCATGGTCAAGGTGTTCATGATCTGGCTTGGTCCACATTTCCCATCTCACTACCCACCCTCACACCACATCAGACAACCCTCCAACCCCTCGGCTTCTGGACCTTTCCACATGCTGTTTGCTCAGCTGGGACACTCATTTTTGTGACCATCTTTCAAAGTTCAGCTCAAGTGTTGCCTCCTCCATGAGATCTTTCCAGACACTCAGGTTAGAATTCACTGCTCCTTCCTCTGTGTCCCCAGGGCATTTTGCTAGGGTCTCTCTTATGGCCCAGAGAGCACCCCGATTAAATGCTTGTTTACACTGCTACCGACTTCAAAGGCAAAAGGGCCAGAGTAGGACTAGGGGGAGCCCAGAGAAAATGGGTGACCACCTGACTCCCCTCTCTTGTTCTCTAAAACCAAGATGAGCAGGGCTCCGGTCCTTCCCACCTGGCCCTGGCTCCCACCCACATGCTTTGCACATGGGTTTCCTCTGCCTGGGATGCAGAAGGAAGGAGAACTTTCCTTCACAGGTCAGCTCCTGCCACGCCTCTGGGGAGAAGTCTTCCTCAAGCTCCCTGAGCAGATGCTCCCTCTAGCTCCCGCAGCTCTTGCCGTGTCCTGTTCTAGCACGTCCCTCCACTTGTCTCTCCCCATGAAGCCCATACATTTTCAGAGTTGGCCCCAGGTATGAGTGACATCATTCACATCTACCTGACCCCCACCTAAAACACAGGACGCACACAACAATGCTGGCTGAATAAGGGAAGGGGGGCCTACTTTGGAGCAGAGACTATCAAATGTCAGAGTGGATCACAATTAGCTCGTTAAAATGGGGTTGGGGGCTGCTTGGGCTCCAGCTCATGGCTCCACTGACTCAGAATCTTTGGGGGAGGAGGCACAGGGCATCATCTGACTCAGGTGCCTGAGAGCTCCCACTGCGTGAGTGATGACCCTGGGTGACCCCAAAGGCCCCTTCCAACCTTGGGATTTTACAGGGTGCCAACACACCCACTCTCCTTTCTGTGCCTTGCTCCTCATTTGTGAAAATAGAGCTAATAACCCATGACTTGCCAGCCTCAGAGGGTTGCTGGTCAAGCACAAATAATTTAGTTTGCTTTATACACTGCAAAACCCTGGGCACCTAGACAGTGATGTTCTGTGAAGAGTCTTTGTGACTTCTCCAGTGTAGACATACACACGCCTCCCCCCCCCGCCCAGATCTTCATTCTCCTCACCATCGGGCAGGGTGCTGAGCTGGTTCCTGCGCACACTGAGGTCCCGCAGGGAAGGGAGGCTACATAGCTCTGCCGGGAGGGCCTGCAACTCATTGCCGCTCACATCCTGCAATGAGGAAAGAAGTAGGGCAGGAGCCACAAGACCAGGGGCATCAGAAACTGCCTCTGGTCTCTGGCCACCTGCTTTGGTCCCCCCCTCCCCAAACTCCCCAAAGGCCCCTGGTGCCTGGCTCAATGGCCCCTCTTCTTGCTCTGCTCCCTGTGCTCACAAGCTGCCGCAGGCTTCCCAAGGCGCTGATGTCGGGAGGCAGGGCTCCCAGTTTGTTGTTGCTGACGATGAGCACCCTCAGGGGCAGCTGGCAGATGTAGGGTGGCAGCGATGACAGCTGGTTTCGGCTATGGAAGGGAGAAAAGCATGGGGCTCAGTCCCCAGGGCACTCCTCTTTTCAGGGCTCTGGGAGGAGCACTCAGGGTACCGTGTGCTGGGACTTGGGGCTCCCCCCTCCCTGCCCCTGGCCGGCCGTGCCTCCCTACCTGAGGTTGAGGTAGGTAAGGGCTGTGAGATTCCCCAAGGCTGGGTTCAGGCATCTCAGGCAATTGTGATAGAGGCTCAGGCCCTCCAGGGACACCAGCTGGCATGCTGCCTCCGGCACCTCAGGGAACCGGTTCCGGGACAGGTCTAGGAGCAAGTGTCAGGGGAGAGCTGTGGACAGGCCCAGTCCCGGACAGGAGGGCCCGGAACTTTCCCAGAGCCAGCTGCCAGCCACCCGCCTCCCCACTGGACCTAAAGAGTCAGGCCTATAAACCTGGGCTCTTGGAGAGAACAAAGCTTTCTGCAAAACCGAGCACATTCCAAGAATTAACAGGACAGCAAAGGCCGTAGGGTCACTGGGCTGGAGAAGCTCAGACTTAGGAGGACAAACCATGACCATCACCTTCAAATACACAAACGAAGGACTACCCTGGAAAGGGTGACTGGCTTCTAGAACTCTTGTGGTTCCTGCTGTTCTATGGAGAAGGCTAGTGCTCCAAAGAAACAGCAAAGGAATGGGCCGGGAGGCTCGAGATAAGAATATGGTAAGCCCCCCAGGGAGACCACTGAGAAAGCTCATCCCTCTTCCATCCCTCCTTGGGGGCCTTGTCCCCAGCCTCAACCTCTTTCAACACAGGGAAGAAGCCAAGGGTCATTAGAGTCTGGCTCTAGAGAATAAGTAAGGCTCCTGACACACTGGACAACGGTTCTTCATCAGCCCCTGGGATCAGCAAGCCAGGTCCAAGGGCCTGTGAAGGAACAGACTCCCAAGGACCAGGAGGGGAAGGCAAGCTGACCAAGCTGGAGGTGGAAGCTGGAGTCCTCAGGCCCCTCCCATCCGGATACACCTTCTTCAGGACTGGCCTCCTTCCCACCCTCTTCCAGCCCCACTGGCCTTCCTCTACTTCCTCTCTTACCGACCCAGGCTTTAGGTGCTCAGCTCTTTTGCCTGTGTCTTGGTGTGGGTGAGAAACGGGGAGGGAAGTAGGGAGGGTAAAGCCTATGACCACCCCTTATCTCAAGTGGTCGCTTGCTACTCCAATGAAAGGAGTCAGGACTGGGGTTTCTGCCAGTCTGGGGACACTAACCGTTCAGAGCTCTGCAAGCCTGGGTTTCTGTTTTCTCTCCTCATCTGCACTGGGAGGGGCCCAGGGCCTGCAGGGGGATGTCCCTGGCAACAGAACTTGGGTGAGCTTCTTAGGCAGCCCTCCCCAGGAAGGGGTGAGCAAAAGCTGATGGGAGGGAAGCTGGGGTATATCCCCAAAGGAAATGAGTCTCATGACAGGAAATGGAGTAGAAACAATCTGTCAGGTTCTGTCTCTGGTGGGCCCTATGTTTACCAGGGTGGATGACAGCCTGATGTACCAGGCCTCCCTTTTTCTCCCTCTCTGCTCACAGCCCTGGTATGCAAAGAGGGAAGACCCGTCAAGGGAGAAGACCAAGTTCCGGAGAGGGTGAGACAGCCAGATGCAGTCCTCCTACGTTGGCCCTCCACCCGCCTGCTCTCCCTGCATCTACAAATGTGCTTGTGTGTGTGCACGCATGCTGTGGATGAAGGGGGTGGAGGACAAGATGGGCTAAGCAGTGGTGGGGGCAAAAGCTAGGAGCGGAAGGGAGCCCAGGCTGGAGGAGGCAGGGCACAGGAGGCACAGGATGTGGTCTGTAAGAGAATGAGCTGCACTTCTCCTTTGTGAGAGCCGCCCCTCCCCGCCATCTCAGGATTCATCCTACTTTCAGGGGCCCCAAGGAACAGAGTCCAGGGGATATCAGAGACCTGTGCAATAAGAAATATGCAGGGCAAAAGAGTTGGGAAAGCAGGATAGGGCTCAAAATAATTTGGCAGAGTGTTCAAGTGTTTAGTCTGGGTTGGAGGGAAAGGAGGTATAGAGGACAGGGTATGGTCAACACTGACTGTCACTTCCCTTTTCCACCCCAAACTATAAGCATTCTGCTTGGGGAGAGGGGTCAGAGGAGAATGTTCTGGATGAGACAGATTCCACCTGGCCTACAACCTGGACTCAGGATTTCTGCGTGGAGAGCAGGACAGGAAGAGGTCCTCCGGAAGCTGGGATTTTCCCGCTTCAACACACTAGCTCACTCAGAACTGCCTGCACCCGGAGCCAGAATGCTGGCGGTGGAGGGTGGGAGGGGGTAGGAGCTGGGAGGGGCCAGGGAGTTCTTGGTAGTTTTCCCCAGGAGTCCACTCACAGAGGCAGAGCCCTAAGGAAGTAAAGAATAACATTTGGTCTTTGTCAAAAAACAAGCAAGGGGGAGGGGAAAGGGAACAGACGGGCGAGTGTCACACAGCTGCTGAGGTCAATCTGGAGCTTGGGGCTAGGCGGCTGGGGGAGACTGAGAGGGAGAGGAATGGCTCCTGGGGCTCATCCATTCCCTGAACTCACTCACTGCATGGTGGGCAAGTGCGTTTACCCAGCAACCCAAGAAAAGTGGAGAGGTTTAAACTGGTCCTCCCCAGAACAGGGGAGGAAAGCGAGTGCCTGTGCCCACTTGAGTGTTTGCAGGTGAGGAGGCACCTGCTGCAGAATTACATGCTGTCGCAGAGCGGTGTCATCCGGAGGATGGGAGGACGCTCACCCAGCCCCAAGTCCCACCCTGGGCTAGGCTAGGGTGGGGCTTCGGGAATGCAGTCCTCCTCCCCACTCCCAATCTCCACCCCCCAGCTGCCAGCCCAAGGTCATAGGTTGTTGCCTCCTGAGCAGCTGAGGCCTGACTCACCTGTCATGGTAGAGTCCCCCACACCCTGGCAGCAAGAGACACCAGGAAGGAGGGAGCATGATTGGAGGGATCTGTGGGTGGGGGAGTGGACAGGCAGTGGGACAGTCTCTAGCTTCCCAACACTCCTAGCCAGGAGATAAGATTTCCTTCCTTTCAGCAACTGCCTCAAGCCCCTCCCCCTAGGGAAAACAGAAGCTCAAATGGGAATTCTTGGGTCCCTATGAGGTCACAGGCTCCATAGTGACCTCACACACGCAAGAAGGAAGAGTCTTGGATACGGGGGTCAGGGATAATAGGTGGAAGAGCTCGAGGAGAACAGGGTTAGGGGAGGTGGAAGATTTGCTTCTTTCCCATAGGCTAGCTGAGTGAAGAGTGGAGAGGGCCAGCGACCTTAGGGGGCGGGACAACAAGCACAGTAAACAGAAACACCAGGTTGTTAGGGGCAAATCCTAGGGAAGAGGGGGGCCTAAGGCTGCTCGGATCTCGGTGGAATGGGGAGGAAAGAGCTGGGAGACGAAGTGGAGGAAGAGAAAGGAGTCCTCAGAGGGGATCGTGGGGGCTGCTTTAAAGAACGATCAGAACTGAGGTCATGCAAATGAGTCAACCAGGTGAGGGGCGGGACCATTCTACAGGTGCGCAGACACGCAAATAAAGAGAAGCAGAAGACGGGGAATTCTCACAACGCTCGGCCGGGGCGCTGGGCATTCCGTGCAAACGAGAAATGTGTTCATTGTCTGGTAGTTCTCAAAGTGGGGAGGGGGAGGTGGCAGGCTTATGCAAATCGGCGGGGTCGAGAACCCCGACGGTCAGGTGAAGGGGCGGGCTAGACTCTCGAGCCCGGTGAGAAACGAGCCAGGGGCGGGGCTATGCAAATGAGGGTCCCTGCCGGGTACGGGGCCGGGTGCACTCACCAGCCTGGGTGATGTCTGACAGGTCGTAGCTGCGGGCCGCGCCCCGGGGGAAGTGCTTCAAGCGCCGGTTAGATAGGTTCAGGGTCCCGGTGGCCACGGCCTCCTCCAGGGCCCTCTCTGCACTGCGGCTCCCGGGCAGACCCGGAGACCCTGGAACAGAGGTCGTGGCCGCCGCCTCCTCACCCCCGGCGGCGAGTGGGGCCGCTACCGCCGCCGCCATCCGCTCCCGGCGGCTCCCGCTGCCTGACTGACGGGACCGGCCGTCCCTCCTACCCCCTCCCCCTCCTTGGAGCCGCCGTAGTCGCTTCAAGGGGGGGGAACGGGCTCAGGGACCCGGCGGACCAATCGCGGCCCCGAGACGCGTCGGAAGTGGCTAATCAGAACCCGCCGGGGGGGTGGAGACTCCAGCGCCGGAGTGAGGCGACAGAAGGGAGGGGGCTAGAATGGAGCGCTCGCCAACGGCCGACGTTCCAGGCCGACCCGCCCCGCGCAGCCGCATCCAATCGCAATGCTTAGGGCTGGGGATGGAGCCAATCAGGTCTAACCAGGAGACGGGGACGCCGGCCCTCCACTAGAAGGGATAGAGGCCGAGTGACCGCAAGCCGGGGCTCCTGGTTTTCTTCCAACGGAGGCCAATCGCAAGCCAGATACAGGCGAGTGACTGTCAAGAAGGCCAATTCGATCCTCCGGAGGGAACCTGGCCCGGCCCTTCTCTGAGGGACGGCTGTACCAACCAATAGCATGGGCGAGAAGGCGGTCCCTTCGCCTAGGAGGAGGCGGGTGAGCTAGAACTTTGTGACTGAGGTAAAGAATGTGATCGCTGCGCGCCGGGCCGGCCGGCAACAGTGCAAGGGCTGGAGTGGCGCGTGCGACCTGGAAATGTTAGGGAGCGAGCCCGCTTTGAGGGCGCGGGGGAGGCCGGCGTGGGGGCCAGGCGACGCCTGAGGCCAGTGCGCAGCGGGTCGTTGCATCCGAAGGGACCATGGAGGCCTTTCCGGCCGCGGAGGCTGAGGCCCTGCGTAGGTGTCCGGAGCCCCGGCGGGCGGGGGGCTTCCCAGAGACCGGAGATGCCCAGCTCAGCTCCTGGAGGAAGGGTTACGGGAGACCGGAGAGCCTTCAGAGCTGCCGCCCGGCTGGCCAGCCCGCCCCGAAGAGCGCGCCTGGACGGGAACTGTGATGACGAGCCCGGGGGGGGGGGGGGGGGGGGTTGTTAGTCCAGAAGGGACCGTGTCCTCTAGAAGAAGCCCTCCGTTTTACAAATGAGGAAACTGAGGCGGAGGGAAGTTGATGGGTTGGCAAGAGCAATCCGCAAGTTACTGACCGCTCGCTCTAGAAGCCTGGTTTCCCAGCAGCTTCTATGGTGGGCTTTTTCTATCTGCACCCTCTTCTTTGCCTCCCGAAATGAAATGGAGTGGATCAAAGGGGACCCAGCCACCAGAGGAAGCCGACGATCCTTTTTCTGTCTGCTGAGAGATCTTAGCATCCTCTTAGGTGGCATAACATAGTCCATTTAAAGATTTTATTTATTTATTTGAGAGAGAGAGAATGAGAGAGATTAGGGTCAGAGGGAGAAGCAGACTCTCCGCCAAGCAGGGAGCCCGATGTGGGACTCGATCCAGGGACTCCAGGATCATGACCTGAGCTGAAGGCAGTCGCTTAACCAACTGAGCCACCCAGGCGCCCAACATAGTCCATTTAATACGGTGAGAGTTGCCTGACTGCAAACCACTGAAAGTTTCTTAAAAATCACATCTCAAATGTTGAAATTCCTAAACATTTATTGAATGATTGAAATTCCATCCACGGTGTCTCAAACTAGTTGTTTACTACTCACCATGAATAAGGGAGTTTGGGTGGTTGACGATCAGCTAGCGCAATAAATTCTGTAATACTAGGCAGCTGAGGGCTGGTTGTCCAGGACTGGATAGCTTTGAGTTCCTGGAAGACCCGGTTACTCCTTGGATTTATTGGTGTAGATCCTTTGGTCCTACCTAGACAGACACACCCCCAAATCCTGCTGTTTCTCATACATGGCACCCCTCTCCCCCTATAAGACTACATTAAAAGACTTAGACTCTGGGAGATACCCCAAGGTTCAGTATCCCTTTCTTCCACCTTGATAGGTTGTCCTTCATACATGCATTGATGTTACTATCCAGGAAATCTGCTTTTGGGTGTGTTTTTATGAGCCTAAAGAATTTGTGCTGAATTATTTCCACTTTAATCTGGTGCATGCTCTCCTCTAGGAGAGTCTAGCAGGGTCACCGATCCCCCTCATCTGTCAAAATGAGTTTATACTTTTTTTTTTTTTTAGTTTATACTCGTGGGCTACAAATCCCCTGGAGGCCCTGGCCTGCTGAGATAGGAGAATTCACCAGTGTTTCTCTACGGAGCAGAGTTAGTGCTGAAAGGGCCTCAATTGGAGGAACCTCACAACTACTCCCCAAAAGTAAAGGCCTCATCTGCCAGTAGTTCACGCTTTCTCTCTCCTGTAAAATGCATATCCCATGAGCCACTGGGTGGCTAGAGCTGAGCTAGAACCCAGGAGCTGTCTAAGAGAAAATCCCGGGCCAGGTTGGGGAAAATAGGTCACAGTGGCTGGGCAGTGAGGTCACAGAGAGGTTTGTCTTCCCAGACTCCATGGGGGAGGGGCTTAGGAGGCAGAGGGGCCCCAGAGGTCCCCCAAGCCCAGGCGGGGGACATGGTGTGGGGAAGGCAGCAGGGACGGGGGCCAGGGAGCTGACTACGGGGGGCTAAGGGGCCTGGAGAGATGAGGGCAGGAGCAGGGAGGGGGCAGTCAGGATGGTGAGGAGAAGCCGGAGACGAAAGCTGCAAAAAGTCACCGGGCTGTGCGGACGGGAGGAGGGGCTCCGGGTGAGGGGGGAGCGAGCCAAGGGAAGGACAAGAAGATGGCAGCCAGAGATCGGGGGAGGGTTCTTTGGAGCCGGTGGACCAAGGAACATGGCAGACAGGGAGGGGTGACCCATGGACCTAGAGAGAAAGATGGGAGGATTTGAGAACACAGAGCTGGAAGACAGAGCTGTGAGCCCCCAAGAAAGTAGCTAATGAAAGACAGGCTGAGAGAAGGGAGCAAAAGAGGCCTGATTCTCATGGAACCCCTGTGCTCCCCATTCTCCTTGGGTAGGTGAAGCGGAGCTGCCCTTCATGTGGCCCAGAGCCTGGGGGTGAAGAGAAGAAGGGGAGAGGGAACCCTATTTCTGTTCAGCTGTTCCCCCCAGAGCTGGTGAGTCCTCCGCAGGGAGGTATTAAGAATAAAGGACGGGGGGCCAGACCGCTGAGGGGCCCCGGTGATCCCTGCTTCCTCCCTCCTGCCCCCCAGGTGGAGCATATCATCTCATTCCTCCCAGTCAGAGATGTAGTCGCTCTGGGCCAGACCTGCCGCTACTTCCGCGAAGTGTGCGACGCCGAGGGCGTGTGGAGACGCATCTGTCGCAGGCTCAGTCCTCGCCTACGAGAGCAGGGCTCTGGGGTCCGGCCCTGGAAGAGAGCTGCCATTCTTAACTGTACATCTCCCCAGAAACTCCCGTTCTCTTTGCCTCTGTCCTACCTTATTCTGGGGTCCCTCCTGTTCCATAGAGTTGCCTCAGCATTCTCGGCCAAACTTCTGGGGCTCCTTTCTGTGGAAGAGATTCAAAACGTACGCCCTCCAGCGCTGCAAGCTTCTAGCTCCACCCTCTGATGGACCCCCGTTACTAGCATCCGTGACAAACCTCCCTCCATATTCAAAATCTCTGTCCAAATCCCGGACACCTCCTCCACTCCCCAAACCTGGAGTTTTTCCTCCTCTAAACCAGGGTTTCTCAACCTCATCACTGTTGCCATTGGGGCCAAATAGTTGTTTGGAGTCGGGGGGCTGTCCTGTGCATTGCAGGATATTTAGCAGCATCCCTGGCCTCCACCCACCAGATGCCAGGAGCAAACCTCCCCCCAGTTGTGACAGTGTTACCTGAGGGACAGAATCACCCCAGGCTGAGAAACATGCTCTAAACCATTCCCAGGGAGTCCCTATCCAAGTACTTGAGATAAAGGGAGATCCAGATCTGATCCAGACAGCAGATCCAGAGCTAGGGGTGAGGGCAGTTACTGGCCTTTCTCGGTCGTTCTTTTTCACTCCTCTTGCTGCTTTTCTGTGTATTTTCCCCTTGATGTCTCTGATGCAAGGTTGGACCGAAGAAGCGCTCACTTAGAAGCATGTGTAGTGCCCTGGGCTGAGGGGCAGAGGGGGACAGAGAACTCAAGTTCAGGCATGGGGGATTATTAAAGATATCCTCTATAGGGGATTATTAAAGATGTCCTCTGAGCTTTCCAGTGTCCTTTAGAAGGGGTCTGTTCCCCAGTCTTGGGTGTAGGAGCCGCTACCACGCTACCCAAGAAATCTAGTCTGCCCAAGCTCTGATTCCTCTCCCTTGTGCCATCCTGACCCCTTGAGCCTTCCATCTCCTTCCCTTCTCCAGACACGAAGGGCCTGTATTTCCAGGCATTTGGGGGCCGCCGCCGCTGTCTCAGCAAGAGTGTAGCCCCTCTGCTAGCCCATGGCTACCGCCGCTTCTTGCCCACCAAGGACCACGTCTTCATTCTTGACTATGCGGGGACCCTCTTCTTTCTCAAAAACGCCCTGGTCTCCTCTACCCTTGGCCAGATCCAGTGGAAGCGAGCCTGCCGCTATGTTGTGTTGTGTCGCGGAGCCAAGGATGTGAGTAGCAGAGCCCTGGCAGCTGAAGACCCCACCCCTCCTGCAGTGGGTGGGTGGGGGGACCCAGGGCCCACACCAGCCCTGAGATAATCTCCTCGGGACAGTTGCCCTCCTGTCCCAGGAACTGAGAAACAAGTCCTCGTTTCCCAGCCCTGAACCCAAGTACCTCATCGCTCATCCCAGGATCCTATTGTCCCAGCCTCATTCCACTCCAAGGCCTAGATCCCAGACACCTTCATTTCTTCCTACAGTTTGCCTCGGACCCAAGATGTGACACAGTTTACCGTAAATACCTCTATGTACTGGCCACTCGGGAGCAGACAGGTGTGGTAGGCAGAACTGGCAGCCGGGCCTGTGACTGTGTCGAGGTCTATCTGCAGTCCAGTGGGCAGCGGGTCTTCAAGATGACCTTCCACCACTCCATGAGCTTCAAACAGATCATGCTGGTCGGTCAGGAGACCCAGCGGTCTCTGTTGCTTCTCACAGGTGTGGCCCAGAGCAGTGGTTTGCAAACTGCTTTCTACAGATTCTTCAGGACCTGCTGCAGGGGAGGGGGAGGCCTCTCACATGGGTTTCTGCAAGTCAGCTCATCCTGCTCTCAAACCCAAGAGCTTCGCTTTTTTGTCTGTCTC